CTCACCGCAACCTCCGCCTCCTGGCTTCAGGCCATTCTCCTGCCTCAGCCTCCCAGCTGGGATTACAGGCATGCACCACCATGCCTGGCTAATTTTTTTTTTTTGTATTTTTAGTAGAGATTGGGTTTCACCATGTTGACCAGAATGGTCTCCATCTCTTGACCTCGTGATCCACCCGCCTCGGCCTCCCAAAGTGCTGGGATTACAGGCGTGAGCCACCGCGCCCGGCCTATAATGGATATTTAAACTCATGCAAAGAACAGGCTTGGCTTCCATATTATAAAATGCATCAGCAGCAGCTGTAATCATTTGTGGTCAGAGAGACCAGCATGTTCCTGGTTGGGTTGTGGCTTTATTTAGAATTAAGAGGCTTATAAAGGAAGCCATAGAAACCCTGAGTTCCCCAATTGCTCTGGTACAGGAAACAGAGCAGTTAGTCAGCATCCATTGTCCCGACCAGATTGTTTAAGATGTAATTTCAAGACAATCTGAAAATACCACATGGCTCAATTATTTGGCTATTTGACATCAGGCTCATTCTTACCAAGGTTTGCTTTAGGAACCATTGTATGAAGATTTCTGCAGCTTTCATAAAATACCTATTTATGAACTTGTCATTAGGTTTCAAGCCCTTTATGTAACAATCAGAGATGGACGTGAGAAGGGGGAAGTCTGTGTGGGTTACTGGTCGGCTTTATTTTGTCAGCTGGCTGTGTGACTGTGCTGGACAGCATCACTGCTAACTGTGGTGAAATGAATAAGCCCCAGTGGCGTGAATGCCAGCATGAGCTATGAGGAGCTGCTCAGGTGAAGTTTGAAAATCAGTGTCCGACAATGGACATTGGTGACTTTCATTTGGAGGCACCTGTTTCAAATCTTAGTTTTTTCTGCCTGGGGTCATGGTGTGACTATCTCTGTTTTAGCTGCTGCACAGAACAACTGCCCACCTCTCTTCACACACAGTGAATTCATCCACACAATGAACGGTTTAGATTCTGTAGAGCCTGTATACTAAGGCCATCCATCCAAAACACACCCTGAGGTTCCCTGGAAACCCACTCCTCTAGTCCTCGCCTCCCTGGCTGTTACTTTGAGGGCTTCCCAAAGGGAAAGTGATTCTGTGCCACACCTGTGGATGCTGAATCACCACTGGGGGGGTGTGGGGACAGGCAGTTTTTAAAAGCTCCCCAGGTGATTCTGATGTGCACCTCCCACTAACACCAACTTGTAATGGTTCTATTGTACCTTTTGGAAAAAAAAAAACAAGTAACCCACCTGAGATTCTTAGACAAGAACTAAAAAATAAAATTGACATTTTAAAGTCAATGTGGTTAAAGCGTTATGGAACACATTTGTTGTCGTTTGATAACTTTTTGTATTACTCAGAAAATGCATCCCTGCTTCTGATGACATTTTCATTGGAAAGGGCAAGGCGGAGGTGGTGGGGTGGGTGGAATTTTATAAGTGACTGAATAAGTTTCTCTGCACTGTTGGTCCCAGGAATGTTTTTTATTAATATTTGAGATTCCCTATCCTTATCTAAGGGAGGTTTACGTGGAGCTCCTTAAATATAATGATAAAGAGAGGAAGAACTTCTCTTCCTGGGTGTACTTTCTGTGCCTAATTGCTGCCCCTGTCTTTCCCTGAAGCTTTTCGGTTCTCCAGTCTGCTTTGGCCACATCCTTCTGAGAGCTGAGTCACTACTCCTTCCTACTGAGTCACAAATCTTTTCTCTGGCCCCACCTTGACATTAGGTAATTTTCCAATTACCTGTGACTTGCTTCTCCCAGAATGGACCCTGGCAGCAGCAGCTTGGTCATCACCGGGAGACAAGATGCGGACTCTTGGGTCCTATCCAGACCTACTTGAATCAGAGTCTGCATTTTAACAAGATCTGCAAGCACTCTGTACACACACTGCACTGTGAGAAGCACTGGTCTGTATGGGACATCTGTCTTCTCTCCCGTCTGCATTCCTTCTTTCTTTTCTTGCTTTTTTTTTTTAAGAGATAGAGTCTTGCTATGTTGCCCAGGGTGGACTCTTACTCCTAGGCTCAAACAGCCCTTCCACCTTGGCCTCCAGAGTAGCTGGGACTGCAGGTGGGCACTACCGTACCAGGTTCCCTCTCTAATTTCTACTTAGACCCCACCCCATCCTTCTCTCTCAAGTTTGTCTATCCTGTTGTACTGCTATACAGTTTTGTTGTACTGCAGTACTGCTATATAGTCTGTTGTGCAGACTATAAATCTTGGCTCCGTTTTCTATTTCATTCTTTCTTCCATTCATTTGGACATTTACTAACTGCCTACCAGACCTAGGTTTGAAAGTACAATGAGCAAAAGCAGACCTACCCTTCTGGGGCTTTGCATCTAGTGGGAGAAGCAGATATTAAATACATATCATCAGTTCTAAGTGTGAAATGAGGATGAGCACTAGTGAGTGAACTCTGTCGTCACTCAATCTGTGACTGGTTAGGGAGGCCAGGGAAGGCTTCCCAGAGAAGTGATGCTTGTACTGAGCACTGACGAGGAACTGGAGTTAATCAGATAAGAGGAGCCGGAAGAGCTTTGCAAGCAGAAGGAATAGCATATGCAGAGGCCTAGCCCATCAGAGAAAGTTTGAAGATAATAAATAAAAATTAATTATTCTCAGGCCCTTCATCTTTATTTGGTCTTTCACCCAAGACCATCAGATTTATATCTTCTCCATTCCCTGAGCCAATTTTATTTGTAAAATTACTTCACTTATTCTTTCTTTTTTTTTTGAGACAGAGTTTTGCTCTTTTTGCCCAGGGAGTGCAATGGCATGATCTCAGCTCACTGCAACCTCCACCTCTTGGGTTCAAGTGCCTCAGCATCTAGAGTAGCTGGGATTACAGGCGTGTGCCACCATGCCCGGCTAATTTTGTATGTTTAGTAAAGGTGGAATTTCACCATGTTGGCCAGGCTGGTCTCAAACTCCTGACCACAGGTGATCTGTCCACCTCAGCCTCCCTGAATGCTGGGATTATGGGCGTGTGCCACCATGCCTTGCTAATTTTGTATTTTTAGGTTTCATCATGTTGGCCAGGCTGGTCTCAAACTCCTGACCTCAGGTGATCCACCCACTTTGGCCTCCCAGAATGCTGGGATTGCAGGTGTGAGTCCCCACACCCCACTGCTTCATGTATTCTTTGTAGAGGCCTAGATCCTCCCACCTACATGATATTGTCATGTCCTCAGTTGCACACCTTTCCAGTCTTTTCGCCTACCTCTCCACCATTGAACTCACCAGTTAAACCAGTTTCCTTACTGTTTCCTAATACCATGGTCAGATTGTGAATGCCCTCCAATTCCCTCTTCATAAATAGTATATTTTTTAAAAAAATATAGTTGTTATTAAAACATACATACAGAAAAGTACACAAATCATAAATGTAGAGCTTGGTAAATTTTCACAAAGTGACTACACCAGTGTCATTAGCACCCACATCAAGAAATAGAATATTAAAAGCATCCCAGAAAACCCTTCCCCTCACTAAACACAAAGGTAACTATTATCCTTTCTTCTATCAGCATCGATTAGTTTTGCCTGTTTGTAAACTTTGTATAAATGGAATCATGCAGCAGATAATCTATTGTGTCTCATGTCTTTTCCTCAACGTAAAGCAACTGATTCATGTTTTGCCTGTAATGGTAGTTTCTTTCTTCTGCTGTATAGTATTATATGGTATGACTGTACCACAATTTATCCATTCTACATTTGTAGATGGGGTCTTTTCCAGTTTAGGACATTATGAAGTTTCTTTTTTTGTTATTATAAATTATTATTAGATACATATTGTGGACCAAATCTTTGAATTGTGACTTTTTAAAAAAAATAACTTATAAATTCTGAGTACATGCACAGGTTTTTTAATATAGGTAAATTGCCTGTCACGGGGATTTGGCGTACAGATTATTTTGTCAACTGGGTCATAAGTATAGTACCCAATAAGTAGTTTTCAATCCCCACCCTCCTCCCACACTTCACCCTCATGTAGGCCCTGATGGCTATTATTCCCTCCTTGGTGTCCATATGTACTCGAAGTTTTGCTCCCACAAGATTCTGGTACATGTCTTTTAGTGAGTGAATATCCATTTTTCTCCTGGGAGTGTGCCCATGTCTGAAATTGCTATAGCACAATAAATGCCTATGTTCAGCTTTAGTAGATGCCATTCAGCAGTTTTCAATAGTATAGCAGTTATGTTCTCACCAGCAGCGTGTGAGAGTTCTGGTTGCTGCACACCCTCTGTAGTTTTGCCAGTCTTGGATCATAGGGGTTCTCTGGTGGGCATGTGGTACTGTTGCTTTGCGGGTGTCACTTGTGTTTCTTTGACAGCTAATGTGGTTGAGTACCTGTTTTTGTTTTCTTCCCATTTTCTGCGGGGTTTTCTGTTATTCTCACTAGGTTAGCGGGAGCACTTCATGTATTCTTTGTTGATGTGTATATTGCCAGTGTCTCCTTCCACTCTGTCAGTTGCCTTTTTGCTGCCTTAAATGGTGTCTTTGATGAATACAGGTCCTTTAATTTGAATACCAGTTTATCCATAAATCTTTTCATGTTTGAATCATATTTACACCTGGTATAGTTCTGTAAAACCTTAGAGGTAAAACACATACATACATAAAATTGTGAAACATAAATAAAAATTTAAAAGCCTGGTAAATATAAATCAGAAATATAACTTTTACCTTAGACCAGGGAGGACCAGGGAAATATAAATATTACCTCGGACCAGGGAGGTAATAAGACATGCAAATAAGCCATGTAATACTATGGACGTATAATTTAGCAATACATTTTGCTTAGAGCATCTTAGAAGTTAACACTCCATTGGAAACCTGATCTGCTATGTCGTTCTGATTATCTGTGAGTCCCTCAGACGATATCGAGAGGATCGAAACTGACAGGTATCTGCCTTCACAAGTAACTGGTGATACGCATATCGAAGTACTAACAGGTGTATCTTATGTTACAGGTTATTCAACGATAGTTATGACCTCCCGGTTACGTGCGCTGGGTGGAAGAATTAATAACATACGCACCTCAGAGTTACCCAAAGAGAAAACTCGATCCGAAGTCATCTGCAGCATCCGTTTTTTAGATGGCTTGGTACAGACCTTTAAAGTTACTGTAAGTTCTCTACTTTTTAAATTTTTCCTGAATTAATGCTTCTAACAGTTTTCATTTCTTGGCTTACAAAATGTAGAAAAAAATATTTTAAAATGAAAACTTGAGATCTTTTATGTTGAGATTGCACTGGAAATACGTAAAAATTTTGCCCCCATTTCACCTCTACCCTGAAGGTCTTTCCCCTTCCTCTGTGTAACGTAAATTGTTTGATGCTTAAATGTTGGTGGCTCTGTGAAGTCCTCATCCACCTTCTGAAGGAGACTGGTTCAGGAAGTGGATGAGGACTCCACGGAGGCACCACCATCTGCACATCGTGGTGATATATATATACATATATATATGCTTCATTAGAGCCCATGTCAGGTTGCATTTTTAAAGTAGTGATTAGGGTATACGTTGCCCATGAAACTGTGAGCTCCTTGAAAACAGGAAAGAATAGAAAGGGTGTTGTTTCCCCTGTCCCTGGCACAAGGCTGGGCACACAGCAGGTGCTCATTAAATGCGTGAATGAGTGGTTTGTGAGACCACCAGCCCCGCAGATGGCAGGGCTTGGGGAGGTCCTGGCTCATCCCACTTAAAGCCCATGGAAGAGCCAGTGCTAGAAATGAGGTCTCCAGTCTCACAGGCCAGCCATAGGACCGTGGCTGCCTATGGTGCCCACACAGCCCAGTCATCACCTGGGCCCATGACCTTTGCCTGTCTCTCCCTTCCTCTGGCCAGTCCTGAAGGGGTCTGCCCCAGCCTGAAAAGTTCAGTGTGCAAGGAAAGGCATCAGAAGAGAGGACAGGGGATGAGAGAACAACTGAGGGAACAGTAAAAGGCCACAAGAATGTAAAAGGTAACAAAAACTGACCCCTGGGTCTTCTGCACACCCCCTGCAAGTTTGCCCACTGCCACTCCCAGGTGATCATGGACCTTGATGCCGGCAGGAAGAGAAGGCAGTTTGCATGGAATCTTAGAACAATGGCTGCTGTATCTCCTTGGCTGCAGGTGTCTCCCTATCAGTGCAGAAGACTCGGTGGACGACCAAGGTCATAGGAGTGTGGGCCCCTCGCCGGACAGATAATAGAAATGGGCAGTAGGAGATGGATGTTTCCTCTACCCCACTCTTCCACCCACTTCTACGGTCATCCAGGCCTCCAACTGTGGGCCCCTCACCTGGCAGATAATAGAAATGGGCAGTAGAGATGGATGTTTCCTCTACCCCACTCTTCCACCCACTTCTACGGTCATCCAGGCCTCCAACTGTGGGCCCCTCACCTGGCAGATAATAGAAATGGGCAGTAGAGATGGATGTTTCCTCCACCCCACTCTTCCACCCACTTCTACGATCACCCAGGCCTCCAACTCTTCCCCAGTGTCAGGGCATCAGTTTTTTGTAGGTGGGAAACGTAAGAAGTGAAAACTCCAGCAAGGAAATTCAGTTGTCTAGTGAGGTATCTCCAAAGTCTAACTACGGGGGGCTACGACATATACCTGTGACCTGGTTCTTCAGAAGCCAGTTTAGAGATAAACATCCTCTCAGGAGGACTGTCCAGAAGACCGTTCTGCGATTCTGGAAATGTTCTGTATCTGCACTAACCCATAGGGAGCCCCCAGCCACATGTGGCCATTGAACACTTGAAATATACCTGAAGAACTATTTTTTTTTTTTCCTGAAACAAGGTCTTTCTCTGTCACCCAAGCTGGAGTGCAGTGGTGTGATCCCGGCTCACTGCAGCTTTGACCTGGGCTCAAGCAATCCTCCCACTTCAGCCACCCAAGCAGCTGGGACTACAGGCACGCACCACTACACCCATCTAAATTTTTTTTTTAATTTTTTGTAGAAACAAGGTCTCACTAACTTGTCCAGGCTGGTCTCAAACTCCTGAGCTCAGGCAATCCTCCCACTTCACCCTCCTGAAGTGCTGGGATTGCAGGCATGAGCCACCACACCTGACTTAAGTTTTTTATCTTATTTTTTAATTAAAATAATTATCTTATTTTTTAATTAATTTAATTTTTTTATGAACTAGTAAGGACTGCTTCCATTTTAATTAATATTTTTAATTAGTTCGTTGTCTCCACTTTGGATTGCTCAGCCTTGGTGAACATTTCTTAAAGTCTGTCAGAAGCTCCTACAACGTGTGTTATAGATGTCAATCCCTTCTCCTGCTTGGGCATTTTGAAACTTGCTCACTGAGGGGGTGGGACCTAAGAATCTGCATTGTAATTTCTCCCGGAGTTGTCTCGATGTGCCATGAATGATGTGCCATGGAGTTGGAGAACCACTGAATTAGGGGTCTCTTGGCAAGGTTGTAAATATTTCTCTTAAAAAGCAACTACTTTGGTTCTACAGAACCTTGTCTTATATATGATTCCCTTTTTAACATAATCTTTCATAGAATTTTGTGATAACACAAGTTCCGTGAAGGTCACAAATGTCTCTTCCAGGTACTGTACCCTAGTAGTTTAGTGTATGTCTGGCTTCTTTGTTAAAATGTGTGTTTGTCTGTCTTGGAACTGTTCTTAAAGGGTATTTCCTCTTCCTGACAAGATCATGAATGTTTGTTACTATATAACTCATATATTCATTCAGCACGTGTTTATTGAGCACTTACTGTGAACCAGGCTTTGTTGTAGGTACCAAAAAATAGCAACAGTGCATAAAAAAGAGCAAAATCCCTACCTTTTTGAAGCCAACATCCTAGTGGGAAAGATGGGCCATAAAAAAATACGTGCTAAGTCAGGCAGTATTAAGTGCTTTGCAGAAAAATAAAGTAGAACAAGAGGGAGAGAGTTGCAGGGCAGGGTGAGGTCACCATTGTATAGAAGTGACCTGAGAAGGCCCCACTGATGAGATGAAAGAACCGTGTGGTTGTCTGGAGGAAGCACATCCCAGGGAGAAGGAACAGCAGTGCAAAGGCCCTGAGGCTAGAGCCCACTCCCTATGTTTGCAGAACCCAGTGGAGTCTGGAGTGGAATGAGCCTGGGGATAGTGAAGCAGGAGATGAGGGCAGAGATAGTGGGTGGAGGATTGTATGGAGCCTTGTAGATCATTCTGAGGGCATTGGCTTTTTTTTCCTACATGAGGTGGAAAGCATTGGGGCTTTGTCCACAGTCAACTATAGGTGGGAGGAGCTGAAAGACTGATTTGGCAGTCCAGGGCAGAAATGATGACCAGTGGACATGGTGGCTGTGTTGGGCTGGCTAAGAGGAAACTGAACCCAAAAGTACTTTGAAGGTGGAGCCAATAGGGTTTGCTGATAGATGGGATTTGGAATGCAAAAGAACCGGAGGCCTCAGCGTGACTCCCAGGTTTTTGGCCTGAGCAATGCAGCAAGATAGAGTTGCAGTTTATTGAGATGGGGAAGACTGTGGGAAGAGCAGGTCTGAGGGCAGAAGTCATCAGTTCTGCTTTGGGCATGTGGCGGTGGAGAGGCGTGTTATTCATCTATGTAGCAGTGTAGGAATGGTGTGAGATAGAAGAGTCAGGAGGTCAGGGGACAGGTCCAGGCTGGGGATACAGATGTGGATATCAACAGGATAAAGACGGTATTTCAAGCCGAAACTGGAGGAGATCCCCTGAGAAGCAAGTAGACAGAAGCTGTGAACGGTGCCTAAAGGTAGGAGAGGTGAGGAACAGGCACTAAAGGAGTCTGAGAAGGCCCGGCCAGGGAGGCAGGAGGAAGCCAAGAGCGAAGGTCTGAGAATCCCAGCAGAAGGAGGAGTGATCAGCTCTGTGAAAAGAGGAGGAGGCAAGTCCCTACCCTGAGTGAGCATCATCTCAAGCCTTAGAACAGGCTGGGTGCCGTGGTTAATGCCTGTAAACTCAGCACTTTGGGAGGCCACAGCAGGAGGATCCCTTGAGCCCAGGAGTTTGAGGTTACAGTGAGCTATGATTTACCACTGCACTCCAGCCTGGGCAATGGAGCAAGACCCTGTCTCTGAAAAAAATAGAGGTCTTAGAGCAGAGCCTGGTGAATAGTGAGCACCCAGAAATTGTTAGTGATGAACATCATTGTTCTTATCACGTGGCTGCCATCCCAGGCTTCCAGCAGCCTGGTTCAAAGCTGAGTCATGCAGAACTTGAGAAATTGGAGGTCCTGTTTGCAATTTGGAATATACCTCACTTTATATCTTTCTATGCCTAGGAATTTTCTGCACAGTCTCATTCAGACTCTTTAGCCCAGCCCATCTTGTGACCTGGAGCACATGTCAGGGAAGCTGACTTGGATATCAGTCATTCTTAGCCCAGGGAGTGAGCCCTAGAGGTGACCTGGTATGCCCAAGATCACCTCTTGGGGGCAGGGCCAGGCCAGAAGGATTGTTCTTATTATAAATGTGGTTTTTTTAATATTTCAATTTTTTATTATATTTTTAAATTTTTTTATATGCCCATTTTTTTCTGTTCTATTTCAATTTCTGTTGAAAATCAGGTGAATTATGCAGAATAGATACCTGTATGTATGAATTATGCACTCCAGAGGAGGAGATGTAGTAGGAACAGAGAGGCTTTGGCATCAAACAGACCTGAATCAGGCAGTCAGACTGTCCCTTGGCTGATGGTGCAAGGCACGGAGCCTCTCACTGCCTTTGCTCATTGGCAAGGGAGATGGTGATGACCACTACACTTTGCAAATTGTTGCAAAGATTAGAGATCATATATAAAAAATGTCTCAGCATAATATCTGGCTCCTTTGTAGATGTTCAGTAAATTGTAGTTAATATACATTAAATGTAATATAAAATCATATATAAATAATTCCAACAAGGGGAGCAGCTAGCTCTTTGACATATGGAGTGTCTGGTAATGTGCAGTGTGTGGACTGGGTCATTCTTTCCCCACCTGTTGTTATTCTCTTGTGATGGACGGTGCCCTGGCTAGAAGGAGCAGGAGGTCCAAGCGCTCTTGGGCAGGAAAGGGGGCATGTTCAGGAAATAGGCGTGTCTCATGCTCCCCCCCTTCAGACCAGATAATCTGAGGCTGCCCCAAAGAAGTCTCTGCAAAAGGGGCCTGACGGTTATCTAATTCTTCAGTGCTGGTCACTGTGACCTATTTTCAGGTACATTATTTGCTCTTAGGCACTCAGAAAAAGGATCTGCCTTGGGCTGTTCTATACACGGTCTATTTCTGACTCATATTGTCCTTTTAGTTAAATGGTTTGGTTCAAAGGATTCCTGCGAAGTCTGCCTGTTAAAGTAGAATTTGCAGTTTTCCAAACACTCCATGCTGTTTGCCATCAGTGCACAACTGATGGGCCTTTGTGCCGGGCCATCTGATCCAAAGGCCTCTTTTTAGCTTGTGCACCTGGAGGGGTGGGCTGATGCTTGGACCTGTCCTCCTCCCAAACCCAGTTTAGGGTTGCTGTCTCTAGGCCCCCGGTTGAGATGACCATTTGTGTGGTCCCCTTGGGTGTCCACTGTGCCTCAACTGTTTCATGGCCCTTGATGGCCTTTGACACTCTGTTACTGCCTCCACAGCCAGGGCAGGAAAAGGGAGCTTCTTACATCCCTGTCCCCATTCCGGCAGCATGCCAGCCCCATAAACATGGAGCGGGGAAGGCGATCGAATCCTGCTCTGGAGAGACATGTCGTTGAACATGCCCTCCAGCTTCTCACTTCAGATGACTGGAAGGGGAAGCAGGAAAGGAGATAAGCCCACCGGGTGGCACAGGCCAAATCACTCTGAGGGCATTTTGAATGGCATTTGAGTATTTTTAGCTGTCTTTTATGCGGTTAGGTGAGAGTTTTCCGTTCCTGGACATATACTTTGGTGGCTTCTCTAGGAGTAGGAACCACAGATGTGTCCTGAGGAGCCAACGGAAACTGCCCTGGGGTTAGCATTTCACTGTGGATAATCCACGGGAGGCCACAGGGAATTTACCGTGATTATGAGAGCTGAGTTTACCAATTTAGACATTATCACTTGGGAATTGCAGCTAAGGAGGAAGGAAGAAATCTTAGACAATTAAACTCATATTGTCTTAAATTGTGTTGGTGTCGTTTTTCTTAGCCCTACCTCCCATATGTGCTGTGTGGCTTCTTAAAATTTATTAAAGCTCTTCTTGTGGTGGGAAGTGTGTGTGCATAGCATTTCTGAATATTCTAACTCTTTTTTGCCTACAGCAAAAATGTTTTTACCACCAATTCATTTATTTTAAGACTTTTCCCACTTGATAATTTCTTTTGTTCTAGAAACAAGACACTGGTCAGGTTCTTCTGGATATGGCGTACAACCACCTGGGTGTGACTGAGAAGGAATATTTTGGTTTACAGCATGATGATGACTCTGTGGACTCTCCTGTAAGTGCCATTTTTTTTTAATGTGCTGAACTCCTGCATGGTTTGCTTTTATATTTTATGTTTTCTTGTCCAACAGAGATGGCTGGAATCAAGCAAACCCATCAGAAAGCAGTTGAAAGGTTGGTGCGATCTTTTCACTTCAACTGAACGTTAGGCGTTAGTTATCACAGCCTGTTTCTCTCCTCCGATCATCAGTGCCTATAGCATCTGGGACCTGGAGTTCTGGGCATCCAGGAGTCATGAGTGAGCTGTCTTCTCCATGTCTGTCTTCTGAGTCAGCAGAGATACTTCCAGATCAACCCTCTAGGATCCTTCCCAGCTGTGGTCAAGAAAGGGAAAGGTGAGAGTAGGCAGCTCAGAGCAAGGGAGCTCGTATTTCTTTATACAAGGAAACAAAAGGAAAGAGGATGGCCTTTCTTAGCCTAGTGTGAGAGCCAGGGTGGAAGAGAGAGACAGAAAGATAGACAAACACAAACGCCTCCTACTTTCCAACAGCATAGTGGCATTCACTGAAAACAATAGGTAGGTGCCATAGGTAGGTAGTGTCACAAATATAAAAGGTTCAGTCCTCCCAACTACCACTTATCTCTCAGGCGTGGATCCCAGTCCTGCAGTTAACTCCCAGCCGAGTGGCCAATCAGGCCACACCATAGCCCACCCTCTGCCCTGATCTGCTCTCAACCTGGTGTTCCAACTTTGCCAGCATTTTTTCCCTTTATGCCACTCATGCCCCGGACAAACCTGGCTGATATACAGGGCCTTCTGGTGCCTCCCCTCAGTCTGTTCCATCTGCTGGGAATGCTTTTCCCTCCCACTTCCCTCTCTCAAAATCCTGCCTTTCTTCAAGGCTGCTCAGATCTCATTTCCCCTCCTAGAAACCGTGGCTCCCTCGACATTCTCTTAGATTTACCATCGCCCGTGTTGGGGCCCTGAACACTCTCATTCTTATCTCTGTTATTTGCCTTTAGTTTCCTCTCAGAACTCCCAAGTTCTTGAGGTTAGGACCCTTGTTCTATTTACCTCTGCATCCCCAAGGTGCCCAACACACAAAAAAGTGGCCAGTGCATGGTGGAGTGGAGAAGGGCAGGTAGATTTGTGCACACTGGTGTGCATACTCAAGATGTCCCCCCAGCACACACACACACCTGCCTCAGCACCCAGGCAGGAAGGAATAGACACAGTGGCCTTTGCTCCCATCTCACTGCTGCCCCCACAGGGAGCCAGGTTCTCAAAGTTCTCTCACATAAGCTGCATCCTCTGCGTTCAGAAGTACCGGTGGGAGCCACAGAGCCGCTTGCAGACAAATACCTGCACCATCCAAGTCCCCAGGAATGAGTCCACACAAGGCATGAATAGGTGTTTCATTCATTTTCTCATTAACTCGTGCTTTCAGTGAACATGTCCTAAGCTCAGACTGTGGCAAGGTGCTGGGCTAAGCCCTGGGAATCTAGTCCAGATCAGATTTGGACTCTGCCCTCAAGGAGCCCACAGCCAAGTGTGCAGACAGCCCAGAGGGATCGACATTCTATGACATTAGTAAGCACGATAGAGGACAGCCAGAAAGACAAAGAGGCTGTGCCTGCAGCACAGACATGACAAGTTTTAGAAGGGGGGTGGGGAGTGAACAAGCATCCCAAGGCAGCTGGAGGACATTGCTCTCCCCTGATGTGCAGATAGTCATAGCGCCACCCACTGGTACCAAGAGACATGTACAGGTGTACTCAGGGACACAACGCCATAGAGATTCTTGGAGCACATGCTACAGATAAAGAAAGAAAGCACTAAAGAGCAGGGAGGGTGGAGCCCAGGATGAACTAAGGTAGAGGAGGAGATCCAGCAGGCCAGTGAGAAGGTCTTGAGTTGCAGAGAGCAAGAAAGTGCTCAGTGCCTAGATAGGGCGGCAGATATTTACTGAGCAACAGTGGTGAAATTGACATGAAGATCTTGGGATCTTAGCAACACAATCTGATCCTCTCCTGTTTCCATATCTATCAGAAGTGGACTAATTTTATCCACACAACCGAATTGACTCTGGATGTTGATGTGTAAAACCATATTTGAGTGTGTTCATTGTGTGATTTACTAGTATATTAATTTAATATACTTTGCATTAAAAGCATGAGATATTTTCTAGTTTAAAGATGATTTTGAAAATGTGGTATAGCAAAATCAAAGATCTCAGTACTTTAATTCTGGTTTTGTCACCAGCTGTGTGACCTAGGCAAGTCACCTCTCTAAGCCATCGGCTTATCTGTAAAATGGGCTACCAGTAGCAGCCTAGCTCATTCATAGTCATGGTGGTGTTCAAATGCAGGGCTATACTGAAAATGCTTGAACCGCATGAATGGCTGCACAAACACAGGCTATTATTTCTTTGTAAACTTTGCGTAATATGCCAATTTAAGGATTTTTAAAATTTCTAATACAGATAACAGAGTGCAATGTTTAAACACAGCCCTAAAATAACCGTGTGATAGGAAGTCGATGATAACTCAGTCTGTGCTGATGTTGCATATATATTTTACTTTTTGAAGACTTGGAGAGTTCTAAAACAATGAACTAACTTATGCACTCCGTATTCGAAATTAGCCCTTTTCTAATGGAAAAAAAGCTATGGTTGAGTGAAAAATGCATCACTTATGGAAGAGAAGCAACTTACATACATTGACTTTGTCAAAGAGAAAATTTAATTTGTTTTTGAAAAATGTTGTAGGAGGTTTCCCCTGTACCCTGCATTTTCGAGTAAGATTTTTTATACCTGATCCCAACACACTGCAGCAAGAACAAACCAGGTAATAACATTTTAAAGTTTTCTATTTAGTGTATAAAAATGAGTAACCACTAAAAATGTACTCTTCATTTTATTACTATGGCCAAATAACTTCATCTGGGTGTAACTGCACCAACAATGATGATCCAGGTAAAAATCTGGGGTGCACAATACTGACATTCTAATCAGCGAATTAGTTTTCAGTCTTGGGCCTGCTTCTCTTATCTGCCACCTTCTATCTCTCCTCCCACCACCCTGGCCTCTCCTGCCTGCTGAACCCACTGTGCTCAAAGGACAAAAAATCATATTCTACTAAAGTAGACAGGATGCAGAAGACAAATTTGTAAAACAGTCATCCACAGGTCAAATGGCATGATGTCTCTGAAGAGCTAGAATCGAGGCTCTTGAAGATAACAAGACATTCTTGTTATAAGACTTTTCTTTCTTTTTTTTTTATTTTTTATTTTGAGACAGAGTCTCTCTCTGTTGCCCCAGCTGGAGTTCAGTGGTGCGATCTCAGTTCACTGCAACCTCCGCCTCTCAGGTTCAATCGATCCTCCCACCTCAGCCTCCCAAGTAGCTAGGATTACAGGCATGCACCACCACACCTGGCTAATTTTTTTGTATTTTTAGTAGAGACAAGGTTTCACCAGGTTGACCAGGCTGGTCTCAAACTCCTAACCTCAAGTGATCTGCCTGCCTCAGTCTCCCAAAGTGCTGGGATTACAGGCATGAACCACCAGGCAAGCTTTGTTATAAAAATTTTCTATCAGATCTCCAGTTTACAAGAAGTAGAAAGGAGAGCAGGATGGATTCAGCTTGTCTTCTTAGTGAATCAGCAAGTGCAGGAAGTATGTGAACCAGATAAGGGAAAGAGGGCTGTATAGGAGTTGTTTACCCCTCAGGGCTTGGAGTCTCTCCCGACCCTGGGTTGGTACCTGGGTTTTTTGGGTGTGGAGGACAGAGTATTTGGAATGGAGGAAGAGAGTGTAGCACAAGAAAGTTGTTGCTATTTTAACACAGACTGCGCAAATTCAACTTCCCCTCCCCTGTGGCAACATTAAGCCCTTTTATTATCGATCCATTTATTTTTCTTAGGGAGGGAAGCAGTCTCGCCAGAACAAAAGCAATAGTTGCTTAGTATTGAATCCTGTTCTACATTCATTATGGCCAAAAGACATCATCAAGGAAGCAGCATTAACTCAGACACAGAGTTCTGTCTTGTTTATTTTTTTAGTAGTAATTACATGATCACATTTTAACTTGAAATATGTTGAAAGGCCAGATATTAGTCTATTACTGTATTTTGCCTTCTTTGGGGACCTCCTCCCTCTACTATAGCAGACATTGGGGATTTGACTGTGTTTTTTATTACATTTTAAGCCAGTGTCCAAGGTGTCTGGTATGACACATCAGGGGACCACATGGAAGCATGCCCTGTCCTCCGAGTTTTCCCCATACCAGCTCTTCATGCTGGTAAACTGGGGATGGGATAGAAGCACTCAGCCCAGCAGGTTACTTCTTATGCTGACAGACACAGAGCTGGTGATGAAATCTATAAGAACATGTTTGAAATGACCCTACTAAGGCTTCCATGGGCCAGTACTTAAATAACACGCCATGGGCCAGGCATAGTGGCTCATACCTGTGAGCTTCCCAGCACTTCAGGAACCCAAGGCAAGAGGATCACTTGAGGCCAGGAGTTTGAAACCAGCCTGGGCAACATAGCGAGATCCCTCCTCTACAAAAATAAAAATAAAAAAAGTAGTCAGGTGTGGTGCTGCATGCCCATAGTCCCAGTGACTTGGGAGGCTGACTGGGAGGATCGCTAGGGCCCAGAAGTTCAAGGCTGCTGTGAGCCATGATTGAACCATGCACTCCAATTTAAGTGATAGACTGAGATCCTATTGAAAAAAAAAGGTCTCTGTTGAAGGGATGTGTTAAAAACAACATGAATAATATGTGTGTGTATACAAGTATATGTGTCTTTTATATATATTATATATAATACACGTGTGATTATATATGTATATACATGTATGTACACGTGTACATCCACGTGTGTGGTTCTAACCAGTGGGTTTTTTAAAAATCACAACTCCATAGTAAAAATATATTTTGTTTCATAGTAAAAATATATTTTGTTTCAGAAGAAATATATTTTTTTCTCAAAAATATATTTTGTTCTAACCAGTGGGTTTTTTAAAAATCACAACTCCATAGTAAAAATATATTATGTTTCAGAATACAGTACACATATATAAATTACTGAAGCAAACATTTTGTAAAACTATAGTAAGTCGCAAGTACTCTGAAGTTTTCTATTCTGTTTTATTTCATTTCTTGAAAAAATGCCAACTGTGATGCAGTGAATTGATTGTACGATCAACTGGGAGGTTCCAGCCCCATGTGTGGATGGCACTGCCTCACCTAGCAATTGTCACCTGTCTCCTGTCTCCTCCCCGTAACACTAGAGCCCCAGATTTGTGGTATCCACTGGGCATGTTAGAGGCCTCCAGTGGCTGAACTTGAGGGAACATATTTCTACGGCCAGCGTAGCCCAGGAGTTCATCACCAGGGCCTGTCCTAGCCATTGGCCATTCTCTTCCATACCCTATGGAAGAGAAGCCCACTTCTCTGGGAGTTGACAGAATCTTCCTGCTGAGCCTTCCTGTCGTCTGAGGGACATCTGTGGAAATTTAGGGCATTCATGATGGAGAGAAGCCTGAGGCAGAAATGAAGGCTGCCTTCAGATCTTTTCAGTGGTCATGGGAAAAGAGGAACTGGATATGCAGGGTCATAGAATTATGGCCAGTGGGTGGAGGCTACAGAGAGGCAGATTTTAGTGCAGAATGAGTAATAAACAATGTGTTTATTACTCTCCTAAGATTCAGTGGCTCACAACTGACACCCCACCCCACTTTCCATCTTAAGAAGGGTGATGTCCCATTGCAGAATAGAATGTAACTATCACCTTCTGGGATTTGGGCATAAGATTTCCCTTAATGTAGCAGGAGCTGCGGTGGGAGCCACTCCATAACTCTTATAGAGCTGGTGGCCCACCAGGACTGCCATTTTTTTTTTTTTTTCCTGAAACGGGGTCTTACTATGTTGCCCAGACTGGCTTCAAACTCATGGGATCAAAGGATCGTCCCTCAGCCTCCTGAGTAGCTGGGATTATAGGCACACACTACCATGCCCAGCTGCCAAATCATTGTGTCCTGGACCAGGCTTCTACCATTAATTCACATGCTTTAAAAAATATATAAAATGAAAGATTTTACTTATATTCCTGGCACATAGTATCTTATCCCAGCTTGTAGTTCCTGTTTAAGGAAATTCCCTCTGAAGGAAATTTTAGCTCTCAAAAGTCAAAGAAGGTGTATAGAGAGGTAGTATCTGTTGGTTTTTGCTTGTTTGTTAAGGATCTAGGCCGAGAGACTTTGATTGCTTTTTTCTGAAATTGAAGTCATGGGTGTGGTACACGCAAGAGAGGTCGTTACATTTCTTTAGTTAGGCATCCCAAGCATCTCTTCTAAAGAACTATCCTGTATTCTAATTGTTAAATAAATATCTTCTTTATTGTGAGCCTCCACAACTGCTGTTTCTGATAAATTTAGATCATTCTAAGCAGAATTTTATATACTGGCAATCTCAAAATTAGGCTCCTTCAAGATTCCTGGGAAGTCTCCTAAGCTTGGGTTGTGTTTCACTATTCTAGTTTCTTTGTGTATGATGATGCCATGGGGTTGACTCAGAAACTTTGCTCGGTAGATGACAAGGCAGCATTTGGTGAGTGGTGAGCTCGTTTATCTTCTCAATTATATCCCTAGGAAGACATACTGATTAGCTGAGCTTGTCAATGAAAGCCCAGATTCACCACTGGATTATCTATAACTCTCCCTTCTCTTTTTTCTCTCAGTAGCATTGTAGGAGGAGAGAACACTTAATTCTGGTTGAATGTCAGCTTGGATAAACATAGAAACAAACTAGAAAGAACTGATGATGTTATCCTAGGTAGAAAAGATGGTGATTCCAATACCAAATAGGTGTGAATTAGCAAATGTATGTCATATTGTCTCTCAAGGCTAGGGTGTTCAATACGTTGTGAGTAGTTAATTATAAGCAAAGTAATAATATCAGAGTTATGACATGGATTTTAAGCTTTTTAGTCATTAAACTATAAGAAATTTGTAGCATAGTGAGTTTTTTTTAATAACATGATCATCCAGGTTAAAATAAGACACAGCTGCCCTCATATGTTCTATCTGAGCTTTGATTTTGTCATCTGTAAAAATGGATATAGTGGGACCTACCTTACAGAGTTATGAGGCTGAAATAAGAGGGAAAGTTAGGACGTAGTACCATGTACACAGCCCAGAACTGGGCAAACAGGAGGTTGTAATACTGTTTGAAGCATTCCCATCTCATAAAGCCAGTTCCTTGACCTTATAAATTTGAAGGAATAATGAAACTGATTTGTTTAAATTGTTAAAATTATTTCTCTCCTGCCTCTGTTCACTTCTGCCCTGTCTATATTAGATTTCAGGAGGTTTCCCTTTTGTCATCTTGGCCAGACACTGGAATGTCTATCCCATTTGAATCTGGGTTTTAAAAAAGTATGGGAGCTAGTGGCCAAGTGTCACATGTATGCCGCATCCCCAAATAGAAGTCTCCCCTAGGGGCTTCCTGGCCTGCACAGTGCTGCCGACAGCCTCCTTTCCCCACTCCCCGGGCAGGGGAGCAAAGTCACAGGCTGAGGGGCCTTTCATGACTTGCCCACAAAACAGATCTGGAGCTCGGAGGTTACATTTACTGGTTGCACAGAGATGAGTGCAGAATTCAGCTTGGAGGTCCTGTCAGCTTCGGGTTTACTGATGTTTATGCTTTTGCTCGTGTACCCACAGTTCCTGGGACACAGGAAAATGCTCAGCTGGGGGGTCTGCACCCCAGCCAAGCAAGTGTCTTCACAGACTCCCCTCCTTTTAGCAACTTTATGCGGGGGGAGCTTGGGTGGACAGATGCCAGCATGGTGTTCAGAACAGTGGCCCTGCCAGTGTGTGGGCACCACCTGTGCAGAGAACCTGTGGGTTCTGGTCCTCAAGGGCAGGGGCCCTCACTGACAGCAGAACCCACAGCACCAGCCTATCTTTAATGGGCTGTTTCCACCTCATTCATCCCTGCTCAGCCCTCCATAGGGCAGCCTGCACTGGCAGAAAATTGCCCCCACCAATCAAGACACAGGGCACCAACATGAGCCGTCAGTAATGACAGGGCAGCTTTGCAGAGCATAAGGTAGCACCTGATACCTTGGACCAAAACTGTATTTTTATGTATCTTTTGCATGTACAGCTCTTGTCTTTGACTCATCAAACTTTTTTTTTGATTATTTCAATTTGAATATAAATTAATGAAAACAATTATTTCATAGGCACTTGTATTTCCTACAGTTGAAGATGGATATTTGTGAAGGAAGGTAATGAGAATTTTATATTTTTTCTTTTCCTGTTAGACTAGCAAAATTCCTGGTTTTAATGAGCATTCATTTCTGGTAACAATATCAAATCTAAACGAGGAGTGGATGTGGAAAGCATCCTGTGCAGCATTAGCCTTTGGCCATCTGTTTTTATTGTACCTCAGTCACGGCTGAGAGAGGCTAAGGATTGATCATCTTTGATTCATGTTATTTTGGTTTTGTTACAAAGGATGCAGCTATCTTTCTGGTAAAGACCTGAGAAATTTTAAAGGGAGGAGAGGGCCCAGAATGCACAATAGGCTTCATTCAGGAAGGCAGATCCAGCCTAATTTAGGTCCACTTCTGAACCCCTTAGTACCTCCGGATGACTCATTTTCTCTCTGGGAAGTTTTTGCTCATCTGCCCGTGATTCAGTGCTTCTTTTGTTACCAAGACCATCTCAGTAGCTGGAAGGGAGAGGAAATTCCAAGCCAGTGGTCCCTGAGCTACCTCCTCCAAATCCTTAGTCTTTTCTTGACTTAGGGAAGAAACTGCAGCAGGTAAACCAGTGAGAACAGCTCAGCATATTCCCAATCTGTCTACCCTGGTCCCCGCCCCTGTGAGTTTAGCCCTGGAGGAGGGTCTTCAGAGGCTACCAGTATGCTGTACCATAAGGGAGTGTGTAGTCTCACTGGGGAAATGAGAAAGTAGCCCATGAAGCAATTAGGAAACAATCAGAACCAATAATGGCAGTGGAGACCACAGTCGTCGTAAGATTTTAGGAGTTCCTGCTGGTGTGAGCTACAAAACTCTTTGTAGATTGCTGGGATGAGCCAGAATTGAGGTGGGTAGAGAAGTGAGGAGGAGGATTTCCCTGGGCAGTGAGAAGACACCCCACCCCCCACAGTCCCACTTGGAAACCGAATGCTGAGAGCTTACAGGAGGATAGAGAGGGCTGTTCGTGTCCCACGTAGGCGGGCGTCTTACATCCAGCAGGCAGAAGAGAGCGGTTGAAGGCTTTTAGGCAGGAAGGATGTGGCAAGAGCCATATCCACAAAGATATTATCCGTATACACCAGGGAAGATGGGCAGAGGCCAGGGCAGTTCAGTCTGGATGGAAGGGAGCTGTTGTAGCATCCAGGCCAGAGACTCAGGGGCATGGCAGTGAAGAAGGTGGGGAAAGGAGGTGGGAAGTTTGAAACAAGAGACACCTTGAGGAAGGGATTTCCAGAGCCTGATGACTGTTGAGCACTCATAGAATTACAGAATTCTCATCACTTAGCTCATCCTCCCATTCAAGGTAGGAGTGAATCACTTTCCTAGCACAATCTACAGGTCTTCGGGCTTTTGCTTGATCGCCCCCAGTGAGGAGGGGGAGCTCACCCTTTCATGAGGCAGCATTTTTACATTTTAGGGTAACTCAAGGTTGAAATTACCAACCCCTCTCCTGGGTCCATGCTGTCCTTAGCAGCAGCAGAAACCCATTCTGTCCTCCTCTTCTGCACACTTAGTCTTTTCCACAGATAGTTTGCAAACACCTTTTATGAGACAGGCACTAAACTGTGCTGGCCAAATAAGGCCAGGGCCTTGCCTCCCCAGGAGCTTTTAGTCTAACTCTGCAAACACTAGAAAGGGGTTGTGTTCAGTTTTTCTTCTCCAAACAAAATGCCCCTTGTTATTTCCATGTGAGTCAGGGCAAATCTGTTGAGGGCCACATCCTGGTTTAGATCTCTGGCCCCTGTCAGGTCCTCACCACCTCGCTGAGGAGAGGTTCTCTGCTGCCAAATGCTTCTCAGATATAGATCGGGCTATTTGTAACTGTGGGTCTTTCGACAGGCCCAGTGGAACATAGCACTTTTCCTAAGTGTCAAATCGTCCCAACTTGTTGGAGCTGTCCCTGGTAGCCGGCACTCAAGGTGTCATCATCTCCTTCTTTCCAAGACGGTTGATCTCATCCAAGCCCTTCATTCAGCAGGGGGAGACCCTGAAGCCCAGAGGGAAAGAAGGGATGTGTCTAGGAACATGTGGCTGAGTAGAGAGCAGAACAAAGGCTTTCGGTGTTCCCTAGTATGTACTTGGAACACCATTCTTTCAATGTTTTCCTTTCTGACTTCTTCCATCTAGAGGGAACCTCCTCAGCCTCTTTTCTAAGTTGTTCCCCAAATCCCAATCACCTGCTCTTTCTCCAGCCAGGATACTGGCTTAGATTTAATCGAACCCCATCTTGTTAGGAGAGCAAATAGCTGATACTCATCCTGTTTCTGCCTGTCCTCCCCACGGGCTCTCAGGATCTCCAGATGAAGAAACAGATGGTGAGATCCCTGGGCTGCATCTGTAACTTTAGGGATTTCATTTCCAAGTCCCAGCAGGAACACAGAGTCACTTGAGGAATGATGGCCTCAGATAGGGGAAGTTGTCTTCATATGCAGCTGCGGAACCAGCATGCAACGCAGTGGACAGGAAGCGGGACCCCTGGAGGGCCACATTATCAGAAAGGTGGAGTGATTCACATCTTGGGTACTTCATGAACTGCCATAGAAACTGTTTTCTCTACTTCCCACTGGTTTGCTGGGAAGAATGCTTTTAAAGTCCTGGTGGCTCCCAGTGTTGCTGTTAATGATTCCTCTTTATTTTTTTTTTTATTTTTTATTTTTTTGAGGCGGAGTCTTGCTCTGTTGCCAGGCTGGAGTGCAGTGGCACAATCTTGGCTCACTGCAACCTCCTCCTCCTGGGTTCAAACAATTCTTCCACCTCAGCCTCCTGAGTACCTCGGACCACAGGCGTATGCCACCACCACGCCTGGCTGATTTTTGTAATTTTAGTAGAGATGGGGTTTCACCATGTTGGCCAGATGGTCTCGATCTCTTGACCTCGTGATCTGCCCTCCTAGACCTCCCAAAGTGCTGGGATTACAGGCGTGAGCCACCATGCCCAGCCAGATTCCTCTCTTTATCAGTGATCTCCCCACCCAGCAAGCCCTCCTTCCTGCCATCCCCTAACCTGTTTTACCCAGCAGTGACCACTGCTCAAGGTCTGCTGGGTGAGCTCCTGAGCAGGCCATGGAGTCTGCAGTTGAATGCAGAAGAGAAAAGGGAGCAATCAGAGGATTCAAAGTATGACTGAGACAGAGGTGGAGTCATTGTCAGAAACAGGGCACCAGGGAAAAAGCAGTGAGTTTGAGGAAAGCAGAACAAGGCCAACCCAGGATCATTATTTTTAGACAATGGCACGAAGACTGAGAGATAGATAGATCCCTGAACTCTGTTGATCTTCAGGATGGTAAATAGATAAGGGATCCTAAGACATCATAATTAGTTAATTAAGAAATTGCAGGTTTTAAAATTCAAAGTACTTCCTACTTGTCCCTCCTGTGAGGATGTTACTATTTTAGAAAGAGGGTAATCAAGAACCAAAGGGTCATTAGAACTCAGAAATTTAGTTAGAGAGCCCTACGATGAGTCTCAGGTCTTTACGAGAAAGATTTGAAGGCTCCCCATTGATCTCAGAGTACAGTTTTTTCACTTTTTGTTCACGTTAGAGATACGAGCCTGACCCTTCTTGACCAGCCAAAACGCTGGTCAGCATTAGACCTTTAGCTTCATGTGTTTGTGATGGGTATTATTTTAAACATGAAAAGGTTATATTTTAAAAAATATTTAGTGTGTTACATTTACCTTTACTGTTTGAGATTGATTTGTATCATAAAGTTGCGTTTGTTACAATTCATTTTTCTAACAGTTTTCCACTGCCCACTGGTTTTCTGGGAAGAGTGCTTTTAAATTCTTCCCAGAATTGTAACAATTCTTGTTTGGTATTGGTTAATCAAAGCAAAGAAAGACGTGCTACCCATGATCTATGAATGTTTCAGGCTGTTGTTGGTTCTTGCGACTGTACTAATATGTTTTTCTCCTGATAGGTTAACCTGCCCTCTTAACTCAGCAGTGGTTCTAGCATCCTATGCCGTACAATGTAAGTCATGAAGGGAGCATTTCCTGGGTGGACAGATTGTTCTGATCAGTGTATGGAGGAAGTCACCAGTTCCTCCTGCTTGACCGATTCCTCTTCCCCAGGAATCCTGCTGGATAGCACTGGGCAGCATATCTCTGGCAGTCCAGATAGTCCCGCTTCTACCCAGACTTGCCCTCTCCTGTAGTATGAGGATGTTGGATGAAGGAAGACGTTTAAGGGGAAAGATGGCGTTTTCTCCAACAGAGCCCATCAGTAGACATTTGTTGCACATTGCATTTTCTAGAACCTTTGCTCAGGCATTTGATTTGATCTTCATACAAATCCCAGTGGGACAAATATTTGTATCAGTCATCTCTTAGACATGTGGAAACCTAGACCCAGCTAGGTTAAGAAATTTTCTAGGAGTCACCCCTGCTGCTTGCTTGGTGCTACTCTAAAACACTGCTGGGGTCTTAGGAATTTCTTTTTGGAGTTTTACTATAGCTAATGGCTTATATATTGATCTATATCAGTGCTATTCAGTAGAAATATAATGTGAGCCATATATGTAACTCTTAAATTTTCTAGTACTCTCATTTAAAAAAGGTAAAATGGGCCGGGCGCGGTGGCTCAAGCCTGTAATCCCAGCACTTTGGGAGGCCTAGGTGGGTGGATCACGAGGTCAAGAGATTGAGACCATCCTGGTCAACATGGTGAAACCCCGTCTCTACTAAAAATACAAAAAATTAGCTGGGCATGGTGGCACGTGCCTGTAATCCCAGCTACTCAGGAGGCTGAGGCAGAATTGCCTGAACCCAGGAGGCGGAGGTTGCGGTGAGCCGAGATCGCGCCATTGCACTCCTGCCTGGGTAACAAGAGCGAAACTTTGTCTCAAAACAAAACAAACAAACAAAGAAAGGTACAATGAAACAGATTTTTTTTATGTTTTTATTTAAAGCAATATATTCAAAATATTAGCATTTTAACTTAATGTAAAAAGTTATTAGCAAGATATTTTACATTCTTTTTTTATGCTAAGTCTTTGAAAACCAGTCTGGATTTTACACTGACAGTACCTCTCAATTTGGACCAACTGCACATGGCTAGTAGCTACCATATTGGATAGAAAGTCCAGATGGAATTTTCTTCAAGGCTAGTTTAAACTGGAGTAGGAATCCACTCGTTCAATCAGCAAAACTTTATCGAGGGTATATTCCCTTCCAGGTCGTACAGGTAGATGCTGGGTAGGCACAATGAAAAGAACAGATAGCCAGATGAGAGTGAAATGTTACTTTGTAGTAACTAGCTTTGTGGTGGCAATACAGTTGATCAACATGGTACTCAGGTAGAGCTGTTTGCAGCTCAAGACCTAAGAAATCTCTTCTACCTTCCCATAAGCCCAAACCATCTTGGCCTATTATCCTGTTGATCTACTATGTGGGAGACAGTTAAGGTAGGAAGATGGTCAGTTCTGAGAACAGGCACTGGCTGAACTACACACCCTGCTCTGGTCTCAGAAGAGGCAAAATAGCAAGAGAAGGCTAATGCGGCCTGCTGAGGTAGCCCTAGGTCTGCCTACTTCCCTACCAGGAAAGAACAGAAATGAGGGAGGTAAAGAGCAAGGTGGCTGGGCCTGCAGCTTACCCACCCACCTACATGGAACCAAGAACTGGAGGGCAAGGGACATCAAAGATGACCACCTGTGACCCTTTTCACAAGTAAGACAAGACCCAGAGTTAGTCTCTCCATCCATTCTGCATCTCCTCTTCTAGTGCGAAACTCAAAGAGGTGAATGGGCCTGGGTGGATTTGAACCTTCCCATCTCCCTACAGTATACCTGGGATAGGCCTGGCTGTGTCACATCCATGTGGGAAGTGGCATGATCACCAATCAGCTTGTATTCTCATTGATCTCTAGACCTTGTGAACTGTCACTGCCAGGCCAATCAGCTGAGGAGACTGAGCTTCCCCATATCTCAGAGTAGGGTTGGTGTTCACAGCCTGAGCTTCAGTTTTATGAGGCAGGAATACTAACTAGAATACGGGCACATTCATTTTAAATCCTGGCATCCCTGGCCCGGTGTGGTGGCTCATGCACGTAATCCCAGTACTTTGGGAGGCCAAGACGGGAGGATCACTTGAACCCTGGAGTTTGAAACCAGCCTGGGTAATATAGTAGGACCCTGTCTCTACAAAAAAATAACTAGCTGAGCATGGTGGCATGTACCTGTAGTCTTAGTACTTTCTAAGGCTGAGGCAGGGGGATCACATGAACCCAGGAGGTCAAGACCAGCATGGGCAACACAGTGAAACCCCATCTCTGCAAAAAAAACAGAAAAATTAGCTGGGTGTGTTGGTGTGGTGCCTGTAGTCCCAGCTAGTAGGGAGACTGAGAGGGGCAGTATATATTGAACCCCGGAGGTTGAGGCTGCAGTGAGCCATAATCATGCAGTTGCCACTCCAGTCTTTGTGACAGAGTGAGACCCTGTCTCAAAAAAAAAAAAAAAAAAAAAAAAAATCTGGTGTTTCCATTGGCCATGACGAGTGATTTAAGACCGCTCTCAATATGGCTACTTGGTTCAAATTAAGCAGTAATGTGAAGGTGATCTGTAACTAAAACATCTTTATTGTTGGACCATGCCTGGCCAAGTCATTGAGAACCAGACTGGAGCCATATTACCTAGGTATTGCCTTGTGCACTTGTACCTGCCTGACTTTAAGACTCTCCAGACCTCAGTTTCATTACCTGTCACATGAGGATAATAAGTGTTTCCTTCATAGGGTTGTGGTGAGGATGAAATGAGCTACTGTATGTAAAGCTATTAGAATCGTATGTGGTATGTAGCAAGTGTTAACTCTTACTGTATTTTCATGTCTGCCCAAAAGAAAGCTGTCAGGGAATTGCCTATTGTAAACAGTAAATTCTGTTTAGAGTAAAATTTAAGAACCAAATAAAAAAATCTACGCCAAGCTTTAGTAGTCAAGTTCCCTTCTGCGAAGAACTGATAGAATGGGGGCTGAAGAAGTTATTGGCATTTAAAAAAGTGCAAACTAGTTTCAGTAGAAATATTAACATTACTATCGTGCTAATAAAAGCATGACTTATCAGGCAAGCAGTTTGGAGTATAAGCTTTTATCCCTCCACCCTCAATAAACATATATTGCATAGCATACATTTCTATAAGATTATTTATGGCACCAGGCGTGGTGGCTGACACCTATAATCTCAGCACTTTGGGAGGCTGAGGCAGGCAGACTGCTTGAGCCCAGGAGTTTGAGACCAGCCTGGGCAACACAGTGAAACCCCCTCTCTACAAAATACACAAAAATTAGCCAGGTGTCTTGTGGTACACCCCTGTAGTTCAAGCTACCAGAGAGGCTGAGTTGAGAGGATGTTTGAGCCCTGGAGGTTGAGGCTGCAGTGAGCCATAATTGCACCGCTGTACTCCAGACTGGGCAACAGAGTGAGACCCTGTCTCAAAATAAAAATTATTATATATGAAATTACTGGATCAAAAGGTACGCCCATATTTTATGATATATTTGCTAAATTCTTCTAAGAGGGGCATCTAATATAATGGTAAGTCCTCACTATGACCAGCTAACCAAAAGCACATTTTCTTATTACATAAAAAATAAAGTCAGGGACAGTGGTTTGCACCTGTAATCCCAGCTACTCAAGACGCTGGTGGGAGGATTGCTTGAGTCCAGGAATTAGAGGCTGCCATGAGCCATGATTGTGCCACTGTACGCCAGCCTGGGTAACAGAGCAATCCCATCTCTTAAAAAAACAGGAACAAAAAAGTGATCTGCTGGTAAAGTACCTGAAAATACACAATGGTGGAAAATTGTTAATGGCCTGTCAAGGCTTAATGAAGCTCAAAGCATAAAATATGATTTTGGAAATATATGTTTATTCCAAAATGTTCTGTGGACCTCTGCCACATAGAGGTCTGCACTAGCCTCAGGGTGATAAGGTAGATAAGACACACTGCTCTCCCCAAGGAATCTGCAGCCTATAGGGAGGCAGATGTGGATGATACTAGCAGTGGACATGGCCACCAGGAATGTACTTCATCCTGCTTGGGGAGAGGAGCGAGCATCTGGGAAAATATCCCCAGGAATGACCTCTGAGAACAACCTGTAAGATCTGGTTGGAGTTGGATGAATAGCAGGTAAAAGACTTTCCCAGTACAACAACTGGACAGCTTGAAGTGCTGTACATTGGAACCTGGGATATATACCCTCTCTTTGCTGTAAAACATAAAATAGTATCAACGAGAAGAAAGCATGGAACTTAAAAGACAAGGTATTTCCCACATAATCACTTCCATTTCTGTCTGCTAAAATTAGCTTTTGCATGTGTTTCTTCCTCACAAATAGGAAATGGATTACTTAGCAGTTTGGAGTGTATAGTGTAGCAAGTAGGTAAGAGTACTCTGGGACTGTGATCAGAGCCTAGCCTCCAGATTAGCAGCTGAGCAACAGTGGCAGGGCCCTTCGGGTCTGTTTCCTTATCTGTTTAGTGGGGATTAAAAGCATTGCCTATATCACAGGGTTCTCATGAGTATCATGTGGGATGATGTCATTGAAAGCGATGTGAAATCGCCCAGTGTTTTGCAGTTGTTTATCACTGTTTAACTTTGTTTCCCCCTAGTGGTTAGCACCGTGCTTTGCACAGAGTAGCCACTTAAGATCTAAAGTGAAAATCACCCGACAGGGAGGCTCATTGGTTCTATTGAAGTTCAGAACATTTGTCCACAACTTGACTAAAGAGAGAACCTTGCTGTTTGTTTGCAGAATGACACGGGGGTTGGAACTGTTAACTAGTATGATGGATAACCTTATTGGGATACAGGGGGGTCTCCATGAGCTAATGAGACCAAGAGTAGAAGTTCATAGGACTCCACCTTGAGGCTCAGGAAAGTCACTTACAGCATTTGGTTGGCCTTTGGGGACATGCCTGCTGTCATCAAATGGCCAGCAGCGGCTCACAGGCCTGGCAGGCAGGCTGGCTGGGTGCTAGGTACACTAACTGGGGCTCAGGTCCCCTGGGTTCTGATCTTGACCTTGTCCTAAGGGTTAGTCTCTTTTTCTTTCCACACCTCAGTTTCTTCCCTCTTAACATGAGGAGTTTTAAGGAGGTGATTCTAATGCTTTCTAGCACTTTCCTCATTGGGCATGCTGTGTCAGGGCATCTAAATGATTTCCTATGAATGCACTATTGTACATTTAGCTCTGCACAAACTCACCCGCTATATAGCCTTGACATTTCTTTCTACATCTTGGCCACATTTGGCTGGCCTTAACACCCTGTGCTCCAATGTAGACCAAGTCTGAATACACAGGTCACTTGGCTCTCTGCCCTTTTCCCCTTCCAGAATTGAACTTTGCATCAGCCTCTGTACAGATCAGTTCTGAGCACCTACTGTGTGCCATGCCTGGTGCTGGGCCCTAAAGGTGAGTCAGACCGACTCCCAGCACTCAAGGCACAGTGCAGGAAGGAAACAGATTCCTTCATTATGGTGCGGATCTCAAAGAGCAGCCCTGTGGTTTGAGGGCAGTTAGGTGAGCAGAGCTGAGTGAGATAGGACCTTTGCATCTACTATTTTTTTTTTTTTCCATTTTGAGATGGAGTCTGACTCTGTCATCCAGGCTGGAGTACAGTGGCACAATCTTGGTTCACTGCAACCTCCACCTTCTGGGTTAAAGCGATTCTCATGCCTCCGCCTCCAAGTAACTGGGATTACAGGCGTGCGCCACCATGTCCGGCTAATTTGTATTTATAGTAGAGACCGGGTTTTACCGCGTTGACTAGGCTGGTCTCAAACCCCTGACCCTAGGTGATCCACCCTCCTTGGCCTCCAAGAGTTGAGATTACAGGCATGAGCTACTGTGCCCGACCGCATTGCCCTTTCAACTTTGTGGAGAAATTCACCCAAGCAGCCACCTGACTCACCCACTTCCCTTTTGAGAATGCCCACGAAGTATCACTGTATCTTTCCCATACTCTGTCCTTGTAACAGAGAAGGAGTTATTCGATTTGGAAATCTTTGGTGTTGAATTGAGAGTCCGCAGGAGCCTCCTGGCATTGCAGCCAGCTGCAGGAAGAAATTCGGTAAAATAATTGGAAAGATCAGGGCTAATATATTTTTTTAAGTGTAATAGAAGCCTTTTTTTGTTTTGTTTGTCAAGAAAATGGAGTACGAGATCAGTTGCCCCATGAGAGCTAGAGATTATCTTCTCACTTCTGTTTTTAGACAAATGGGAAAACTTTGTAGATAAGGGAAGTGGTTGTCCTCAGGTCCCTTAAGCCTTGTCCTTGGCTCTTCACCTGGTGCCATTCTTTTTCCCAGTTTCCTCAGTGGTGCACACACCCAAATGGTTTGAGTCCTTGGGGTACTCGGACACTTGCACGGGTTGAGCACTGTACAACTCAGAAATGCCCATCACTTCATAGGCATCAGCAATTCAGTTCATGTTGGCAGACAACAGTCGAGGGTCTCAAGGGGGCAGTACCATTTGGCCCAGGGTCTAGTCTGGAGGTCACCCTTCCTATTCCCTCTGCAGCTGCAGGTCCCTAATGTGATTCCCCTGATAGCCCCAGAATGTCTCTTCATATTTTCTAACTCCCCTTAGAATGTATCTTTCTCCCTAGGAAATTTGCTGTTGCCCGAACCCTGACTCCTCAGCTCTACTCCCACCTACCCCTTGTCCTTGTGGCCTCTGAGCACATCCTGGTCCCCTTTCTTCCAAACCTCCCTGAATCCTAGGGGATGGGTCAGGATGCAGAGAGTGGTCAAATTGGCATGGCCTCCCTTCTGCCTACACCCAGTTTTTAGAGCAGATTGGTTCAGTGTTATAGTAACCTTGGGGTATGGTAGAGAAAGCCTGCACCATGCTTGGCATATGGATCATGGCATTTTTCCCAGTGGGTTCTCATTATCCAGGGGCATGAGTGCAAACTGCTGTGCTCACCACAGTGTATGGAAGAGGTATGGGATTAGGACAGAGCCTAGGTTCAAACACCATTTCCCGCTGTATCCTTGGGGAGAATGAGAATTTGGTTGGATCATGTGTGATAGTATCTTAGCACATAGCGAAGGCTCAAATAAGTGTGGAATCTGGAGCTAGCAGGAAGCTTCAGTTCGTGTGGTACAGAACTTACCAAAGAGCATTTCCAATTTATGTTATTCTGATGATGCTGTAGATGCTTGTAAACACAGACCATATTAAATAGGCAAAACTAATTATGACTTTCCCCTTATTCTGTCTTGATAGCTCATTTTGGAGACTATAATCCTTCCATACATCATCCAGGCTATCTTTCTGATAGTCACTTTATACCTGGTCAGAATGATGACTTTTTAACAAAAGTCGAATCTCTGCATGAGCAGCACAGGTGAGGCAGGCTGGAGTGGCCTACTTTGGGAACTTGGGTTGGGTATTTTCAGACATCATATCCCTTTGTGTTTGATGCAGCCTCTTTCTTTTGTGCATGAATCCTCTTTCAAGATGTCGGGGGTTTTTGAACCTTTGAGCTGGTATGGTGGCAGATATATTTGGCATAACTAGCATTTCTATAAAGTGTAAAATCCAGTAAGAGTTTAGGGTGACGGCTGCTGTGTCCTTTTCAAGATGTTATTGAAATCAATAAATTCCTGAAGGAAATGCCCATTTTGAAATCTGATTGCCCCACCAGTGGACTGTACCAAAATAAACCTCTTAGCAGTTTACCACATTTAATTTAATAAAAGCTGTTCCTTCAGGTCTTATTAAACAGACAGACGGATGTAAAATGCTGACCAGTCTCCTGGGTTCCGTTCATGAAAAGTAACCTATGTCCAAGTAGGGAGCACTAGCCTTCCGCAGTTGCCTCTGCATATTTGTTGCGAGCCTCAGCTCTAGCACATATGCCCAATTCTGGCTCATCTTCCCCTTATTTCACTTAAAGCTACAGCAGCAGCTGTTCAGTCCAGGTCAAATAAAGGCCACCCTGATCAAGAAGGCCAGCTCTCAAGGGACTGCTCTTCTTGGGAAAGCCATAAAAACAAAGGCCAGGCAACCGAGTGTCCTTTCTAAGAAGGTACTGCCAAACCTCTCTCCCAGAATTATTCCCGGGGCAGAAGTCAATGTCCTAAAATAGTACCAGGCCAGTGGCGTTTGAAAGTTTGAGGCCACTGCTGAAAGAATAGATAAAGGCAGAGAGACCTAAAGATTCCCTACTAATTAGCAACTTGGAATAATTAGGGCAGGGATTCTAGAGGTTACAGTCTTCGCCATCTGAAAACTGAAAGCTCACTAAAGGGGAAGTATTATTTAATTTAAAAATGAGAGGGTTAGAGGGAGTCACATTCAATGGATAAGAAAAACTTGGTTTAGTAGAACTTAGCATTAGATTGTTTAAGACTGATAACATAAGGCATTTCATAACCTTGCAGAAATGGTATCAAATGTTCTAGATTTTTTTAAATCGGAGTTAATGTTCTCTATTTATTGGTTGAACCATGCTTTTTGTCTTTTCGGTAGTGGGCTAAAGCAATCAGAAGCAGAATCCTGCTATATCAACATAGCGCGGACCCTCGACTTCTATGGAGTAGAACTGCATGGTGGTAGGGTATGTATCCTTGTCCTTCTTGGATCAGACGTTATGAGTTTATTTTAATCTCTGAGAGTTTGAAAACTTCTTTGATGAAACTGTTTCTTTTTCATTATAACAGGACTTTTAAAAAAATACTTGGAAGGTTTATTAAGTCATGCTGAATTTTTTGTCAGTTGTCCAATTGCTTTTTTTAATGTTCGCTTTTATACTTGAAGACTTTTTCCTTTTGAGGGTTCAGGGGACTAGAAACTGGTAATTTTCGTAAGACCATTTTATATTATGGTTTTAAAAGACAAAAAAAAATAGGTTTAAATTCACTTGTCAAGTGACTATTTAAGGAACCAAGATTTCAAGTAGTTAATCGCAAGTGCTGCTCAAATTAGAGCTAGTTACTCAAATATTGTAGGTTTTTAAAAGATTACGGTGGTTTGATTGTGAAAATCAATAAATATTCTGAACTAATCGTGGCTGTTTTAAACGGATTTACTAACATCTGTCATCTGCCAAGCAATTTCTATGTACCAGTGGATTGTTTTCTTAGTGATACAGTGAGTTCTGTATATTATCATTAACCCCATTTTACGTATGGAGAAACTGATACTCAGGGACTTAACCAAGTTCACACAGCACACAAGTAGCTTCAGCACATGACCCCGCATTGTCTAATTAGTATCTGGCCTTTCAGCAGTGACATACGTTTTCTTCCTGTGATTGGCCCTCATAATATCCAAAAGGAAGCAACTATTAATTGAGTACCTACTATTAGCTAGCCTTTATCCAGATGCTTTCATATGAGACCATAAGGTCTTATCTTAGGATCATAGAAACCTTGTGAAATCAACATTCTAGTTATCCCTGTTTTATAGATGAGGAAACTGAGGCTCATAGAGATTGAGTAAATGCTCACATTTTAAACATATATTCATAGTTTATAGAAACACTTTCATTTACTAGTTTCACTTCGGTCCCTTTAGAGTCCTATGAGGTAGGCAAGTTGTGATATAGGTAATAAGGAAGGAAAAAGGTATTAGATCTTGCAAAATAACAGCTTTGGGACTTGACCGTTCATTTTTATTTCATTTGCAAAGAATATTTTATCTTAGATAGAATGTTCTGGAGAACTTTAATCAGCAGTGAAGCAGGACTTTGTATCTGCCTGAGTTGAGTTGTGCTCTCCCACCCCAAGAACTGTCAGTGAAATGACCCTCAAGGGCTCTGAGGCCAGATGACACCTGCCTGGCTAAGACCCCCAAGGTACCAGAGGGGGTTTGGTCATAGTAGGCTGACCTACATGAACTAACAACCCTTGAATCTCCATAGCTTCATATCACAAGGTTTATCTTTCAGTAACTGAACGTTTACATTGAGTCCAGGAATCTTCCAGGCAGTCCCCCTGGCCACTGCAATAACTGAGCAGTCAAGGCTGCTTCCGTGTCACGGCCATCTTCCCATGTGGCCTCCATGTTTGTCACAAAGGAACAGGAAGCAGGGTTACACACCAGCTCTTAAATGCTTCAGCCCCAAGGAAACATACATGCCTCCTGCTTAGAGCACAGGGGACAGAACTAGTCACCGAGCTCTGCCTTCTGCAGGGGGAGCTGGTGAATGGGGATTGGGCCAGGGAATTTAGTGAGCAGTAACTGTGCTGCAGGCGTTGAGGTGCACACTGAAAGACCACAGGGTTAGGAGATTTGAGACCTGCTCTTTGGCTCGCCCAAACCATTCATTTATTTCTTTGTACACTCAATCTTTATTTCCTTTGCTAATTTGTTCTGTCACACCTGCTTTATACTCCCTCTATTGTGACCTTGAGTATCACATTTAAATGCACTTCTACCCTGCATCAAGCAAATTCGGTTTTCTTGTGAGATGTGATTTCTGTTGGGTACTGACAGTGCATACTTTCTGGACTTTCCACCATATCAGCAGTGTTTTGTTTGTCCTGTTTCTCTAACTCCATGTTCACTTCGTGGTTCACAAATGATTTGCCCCACAGCAAAGGGGAAATGGACGTTTCTTATGCCTTTCAAGTCCTCTCTCTTCTACAAACTCCGTAGGCCACGCCCCCTTCTAGGTTTTTATTTTCTCTCATTTCAGCCTGATAAAAACGCTTTGAGGTGGGTTCTATCATCTTTATCGTATGAGAAGAAAAACCGAATCTCAGGATCCCAAAATTATACAGCTAGTAGGTGCCAGACTGAAGTTTCACACTCAGTTGTAACTGACTCAAATCATGCCCCTTCTTTATAATTATATCTGAACCAGGCACAGTGGCTCACACCTTTAATCCCAGCACTTTGGGATGTCAAGGCAGGAGGATTCCTCAAGCCCCGGAATTCAAGACCGGCCTAGGCAACATAGTGTGACCCTAGCTCTACAAAAAAATTAGCTGGGCATGGTGGCACGTGCCTATAGTCCCAGCTACTTGGGAAGCTAAAGCAGTAGGATCACTTGAGCCCGGGAGGTTGAGGCTGCAGTGAGCCATGTTTGTACCACTGCACTCCAGCCTGGGCATCAAAGCAAGACCCTGTCTCTCAGAGGAAAACCAAACAAACATAAACCAAGTATCTGATTGTGAAAAAGGAAGGCAAATGACTCAAGAGGAGGAACTGTTTTATTTTTAAATTTTATTTGTATTCACCTTGATCTCAAACAGATTTAAAACAGACTGTAGTGGCTGTGTCTTCTGTATCTTCACTGTCCACAGCAATGCCCAGCACTTAGGCTTGTGTAAATGTTGGATACATTGGATTTAGAAGCAACCTTTTTTTTTTAAAACAGGGTCTCTCTCTGTTGCCTAGGCTGGAGCGTGGTGGCACAATCACGGCTCACTGCAGCCTCCACTTTTTAGGCTCAAGCAGTCCTCCCACCTCAGCCTCCTGAGTAGCTGGGATTACAGGCATGTGCTACCGCACCCAGCTACTTTTTGTATTTTTTTGTAGAGACAGGATTTCACCATGTTGCCCAGGTTGGTCGCAAACTCCTTGGCTCAAGGGATCCACCCTCCTTGGCCTCGTAAAGTGCTGGGATTATAGGCGTGAGCCACCTTACCCAGCCAACATTTCTTAAGTAGATTTAGAGTCAGCAGTTCTACACTTAAACACGTTTTCATCATCATTTCATAATAGCTAAAGCGTTTACAGTAATGGAAATTGAGATTTGTAAAAAGCTTTGCAAAGGGGTGAGGCCTTTCTGATTTAGCGCTGATTGTTGAAAATTTAAAGCTTGAGTATTCATTTAAATGATTCCATGGAATGAGTGGGCTTATTTGGTAACATTCTAGACCAGTGACACCCACATGTTGCTTGACAGGCTGTGTTCACTTTAGAAGAATTTGGTACTTAGTACTTGGGTCTTAAGTATCTGTTAAAATGGGGCTTTTTGCCTGTTTTCAGTAACATTTTCCCCTTTGGAGCCTATACATGTTGCTATTTATAACAGTGAGGGTGCTTTAAAGTCATCAGAGGGCATAAGCTTGACTGTAACATGCCGTGGATCTGAGATCTTCCTTTTTACAGGATCTGCACAATTTGGACCTGATGATTGGAATTGCTTCCGCGGGCATTGCTGTGTACCGAAAATACATTTGCACAAGTTTCTATCCTTGGTAAGTGCAAACAGTTCTAATTATTTTCTGAATCATGCTTTAAAAATATGCCTAACAAAAGCAATGTTACCTCCCGTTCTAAACGTTTATTTCTAAAGATGGGGTAGAGATTTTCCCCCAAGTTTTAACCTCTGACCTCTAAATTGATCCAGATTTAGTATTTGGGAAAATTAGAGTTTGGTTCTCATTAGCATTTCCCTCCCCCAGCTCACCCTGTGGTTTGGGAGACTCTGGAAACCCGGTGGATAAAATGACACAAGGCAGGCCTTGGCATTAAGACATTTTTCCTGGGCAGTGCATTGGTCAGAATTCAAAGAAGAGTTTTCTCTGGGCAGGAACCATAGTTTCAGTTCTGTTCTTCGGTTATTAATTGAACCTTTACCAAATGTCCAGCTCTGTTCTAAACTCTAAAGAGACCTAAAGACATGTGCAACTGAGTGCTTGCCCTCTGAGTTTACGGGCCTGGTGGGAAGAGACCCGTAGGCCAGCCTGTCCCTCATTACCCGTGAGTGGAACTGAATTTTCAAGAGAAGTTTGAGTTTAATGTGCCAGGCACCAGGGAGCTTTCTTGGGGCAAACACCACCAACATAATACCATCTACATAGTGATGACGTGATGGTGCACAGAATAGGGGTAGCACACATCGCCAGGAAGGAAGAGGAGAGTGAGTGCCGCAGATGGCGGGAGATGCAGATGGAAAAGGACAAGCGGGGAAAAAACATGGAGTTTTGGCAAAACAGCGGCAGCAAGGAAGGAAGTTAGGGAATGGGGATAAGAGAAGATTTGGTGCCAGGTATGTGCCACAGAGTTTGACCTTTGACGTTTAAATCTGCTCCCCAACTTGGGAACATAGAATTTCATTACCTAAAACCCAAAGATGTTCATCACACTATTATTTATAATGAGAAAAAAACCTGTAAGTAACTTAAAATTATGGAGTATTACATAATAATATGTATGAAATTAATAATGAGTTAATAATATACTCTATTGTTATATACTCTATTATTATATTTAATATTAGAATAATTACATATTACAAATATATAATTATATAATATGTAACAAAATTATTGTTATTAATAGCTGTAATTATTATTGCATGCTTACTGTGTCCAAGTCCTGTTACTGTGTATTTTCTTTGATTTATCTCCTTTAAACTCAAAATAGGCACTATATAGGTTATTATCCCCAGTTTTACAGAGGCGGAAACAGAAGTACAAAGAAGTTAAGTAAGATCCTGTCCAGGGTCACACAACTAATAAAGAGTAGTTAAAACTCACATCAGAGTCTAGCTCCAGAGCCTATATACTTTTGTTTCAACACTAAACATGATATTTGTAGGAAAACACTTAAGTAGGATACATCCTTACAGACGCTTGGTTTCAATATAAACTTAAACTCAGTTAAGTTTCAATATATCTATTTTCCAAAACCAAAAAATGTGACAGCCCTGTTCAATTTGACACTAAAATCAGATAGCAAGGTCTTCTCTCCATCTTTCTTTCACCTCGTCTCTGTTAGAAGCCCATCAGAGGAAGCAGGAAACCCCAGCTTGCTTGGCCAGGCAGCTCTCTGGCCCACTCAGGACTAAGATCAGGCTAAGCAGAGGGCAAATGGGCCCAGGGCTCATTTTTCCATACCCAGCCCCTCCAGATGCTGAGGGCTTCCTCCAGGTGTCATAGGCCTAAAGCCCCCTGGGTCCAGCTTAACTGTGGCCGAACTTTCTAAGGGCCGACAGACAAGGGCCAGACCCTCACATTGTGAAGAAGCTGTGGGTCCCACACAGTCACTGCAGGAGATAAGTGGGGTCTTGATCAGGAGAAGCAGGTTTGTGAACAGAAGCCTTTTCGGTAGAGCCTGCAGGGACTCTTCAACCCCAGGGCTCACCCACAGACCTGCCGAAGCCTCCCTCACCCTTCAACATCAAACTGGCTCCTGTTGAGGCCTGGCTCCTGCCTCCAGTGCAAACCTCAGAGACTCCCAGGGTGACAAGGGAGGTGCATGGGCAAGTGCCCAGGAGGGGCAGAACATAAGAAAGGCCCTAAGCCTACAGGGGAAGGCACAAGGATCTGAACACCAGCTGAGCTTTGGCCCAAAGAAAATTCTAGATAGAAGGGGCAGGGTGTGTAGGTCCAGAGATGAGAGAGAACCCCGCTAGTGAGTCAGGAGGAGTGGGGCAGGCCAGGCTAGAGCTGGCCATGGGCGTGGGGAGCTGCAGGAGAGGGGCCTGATCATGGAGGGCCTCATAGGCCATAGGAGCCTAGAGGCTCAGTTCTTCGTGCTCTTATGGAACTCTAGGCTTTCCTGCATGCAGTGCTCACAGTTACAGTGATTTACTTACACCCATCATTATTTATGTGGTACCTGTCTCCCTCACTGGATTATAAGCCTGGCTTAGGACTTTGTACATCCTAGGCTCTCAGTGGTTTTTTGTTTGTTTGTTTGTTTGTTTGTTTGTTTGTTTGTTTGTTTGTTTTTTTAATGAATGAATAAAGGGCAATAGGGAGCCCCCATGAGGTCCCACGCCTGGAAACGACAGAGTTCATGTCTGTGTATAATCAGATTTGCTGATTTCCCCACTTGAATAATTGCTTATAAATAATTATTCAAGTGGGGAAATTGGGGTCAGAATGGGAAAGGGATGCTGAGCTGGAACCTAGGAATCATAGGAGGCCTGCCAGGCCTTTCTACCCCTGTATATGAAGCCAAGGGTAGGGGAAGTAAGAGGTCCACAGATTCCTGTGGGCCAAACAAGGCACAGTAAGAACTCGGCCAGTGTGGTGGCTCATACCTGTAATCCCAGTACTTTAGGAGGCTGAGGCAGGAGGATCATCTAAGGTCAGGAGTTTGAGACCAGCCTGCCCAACATGGTGAAACCCCATCTCTACTAAAATACAAAAAACCTAGCTGGCCAAGGTGGTGGGTGCCTGTAGTCCCAGCTACCCAGGAGGCTGAGGCAGGAGAATCACTTGAACCCCGAGGCGGAGGTTGCAGTAAACCGAGATTGCGCCATTGCATTCCAGTCTGGGTGATGGAGAGAGACTCCATCCCCCCGCAAAAAAAAAAACTCAAAAGGGGAATTGGTTCTCCCAACTTGTTCTACAGAACAGGAATTTTTGCACCTGCCAATTGGCACAGGAGAATCGTGAGGAGACTTCCCAGACTTCAGGGAGGTGTCAGAGCAGTAACACACACTAGAAAGAGTATCTCCAAAAGGGATGAGCCCAAACACCCTTCTCATCCTTAGACTATTAACCTGCAGTCACCCAAAAAATTTTACTTCACAGTTACATCTACCAACAGATTGTTGAAAATAGATGTGCATTAGATAATATTTAATATGTAATAGAGGTATATTGCTATTCCAGCTAGGGAAATGGCCCATGAGTAGTTCAACTTTCATGTTACCTACGCAGCCTCTCCACTCTAGAATGCTCTACCAAGGTCTTCATATGATCCTAGAGAATAGTAAAGTGCCTTCATTTCCCCAAAGTATCTCAGAAGTAAAGATTCCAGCAGGGAAATATGTGCCCTTTGTGTAGATTACAGAAATTTTACATAAATGAATGATGGTCGACCCTTGGTGTACTTGGGGGATTGGTTCCAAGACCACTTGTAGTGACAAAATCTACACAGACTTGTCACACCCTTGGCTCTGCAGAACTTATGTATATGAAAAGCCAGCCCTTTGTATATGTGGGTTTCGCATCCTGCAAATGCTGTGTTTTCCATCCATGTTTGGTTGAAGAAAATCCCCCACATAGTGGACCCCACATAGTTCAAAACTTTGTTGATCAAGGGTCAACTGTAAATGTTTTTTATTTAAGTTATGTTTTTAATTAAAGGAACAAGCATTGCAGGTGCACTGTGTGTCAAGGTAGGGACTTGACATTCCTAATCTGCTTGAATCCTCACAAGGCAGCTCTCTGAGAAGGGCAGTGTTTTCTCCACTGTTGGGAAGACTTCATAGTGGAGAGCTTAGGAGTGCAGACTTCAGAGTCACCTGAGACCAGGGTGCAGGTCCTGGCTCCAGGAATTTCTAGTTGAACGATCTTGAGCACTCTGGTGATGTCTCTGAGCCTCAATTTCCTCATCTGAAAACTGGATATAACAACATGTACTTTTCAGGATTGTTGCAGGGCTTCACTCAGAGCATGTTTATAAAGCTCTTAGTAGCAGTCTAATATATAAAAAATGCTGAGTTAATGGTGACTGAATTCTGTTATCTTGCAAATGATAAGTAGGCTACTTGACACGTGGCTGTTAAGTAATGGAGCTGGGGTTCGGGCCAGTTCTCTCCTCTTTCAGTTGCTCCATGCTGCTCTCAGCTGTCTTCCCCATGTATATACCAGCTCACGCAGAGCTGCAGTGCCACAAAAGCAGCTTATAGCAAAGAGAGCGCATGGCCCACGTTTCTCGTTATTTAAAAGCTACATCATAATCCAGTGGCCCTTATGCGGTGCTCAGCTTCAGTCAGCTACTTGGTGTTCGCCCGCGGTAATGGGGCTACCATCATTTCTATAGAGAAGTAAACTCTAGGCAGCCAAGAGCCCCCAGTCATCGGGATCATGGAATAAAGGACATGCATTGAAAGGCATCAGCTTCAACCTGGCCGTTCCCTGATGTGCTTTGTTTGTTTTGTTTTATTTCTTGAAGGGTGAACATTCTCAAAATTTCTTTCAAAAGGAAAAAGTTCTTTATACATCAGCGACAGAAACAGGTGAGTAGTTATGTCTGTGCTTGCTTTTGGGTGTGTGTGTGTGTGTGTGTGTGTGTGTGCGCCTGCACGCGTGTGTGCACGTTTACAGACAGGGCCTCACTATGTTGCCCAAACTGGGCTCAAAGGATCCTCCTGCCTCAGCCTCCCAAGTAACTGGGACTAGAAACATGTACCACTTTGCCCGGGTTCTTGTGTTTTTAAGTTACTTTAGCTTTTAGTTCTTTAAGGGTTGAAGGCAGTTTGCCATGTGCTTAACAGGGAAGAAAGAGCATGCCATTGTGGAGCCAGAGTCTAGAGGATCCAGTGATTGTCTGTATAATTCTGCTTGGCTGGTTGGAGGATTAACTTGCCTTGGAGTCAGAGACAGTGGTTTTAGATCCTGGCTCTTCCACTTACCAGCTAGGCAGGTTACTTAACTTCCTCTAGCCCAGGTTTCCTTGTTTCCAAAAATGCTATAATGCCAACTTCTTAGGGAATTGTGAAGATTAAATAAAAGAGCATTGGTCAAAGCACCTGGCAGAGAGCCCACTGCAAAGTAGCAGTGAATGTCATCAAGGTCAGCTCCCCCGCCATGATGTGTTGAAACTGCATGACGGCTTGGTAGCTGTATGTATCTCATAAGCAAAGTCCATAGCAAATGTGATAACTCAGTTTGCTTATCCATACAGAGAAGTAGAACTTAGAGATGAGGAAACTGAGGCTCCCACGGCTAGTGAATCACGGAAGCTGGAATTTGAACCAGACCCTTACGAATCTGAGACACCAGCTCTTTCCACAACACTACACTCCATCTTTTTATGCTGCATGATTTTCGCTTACTGTCACTGTGTCCATTTCCCAGTTTTTCAAAGTTAATGTGTGCTTAAAATGGCCTCACAGGGCAGTAAACTCTTAAAATAAGGACACAAAAGCTCAGAGCAGCTAGGACTGGAATCTGGATCTCCTGACCATTCAGTACAAGATTCAAGATGGTAAAAAAAAAATACGTAAGATGGCAATTTAACATGAAAACAGAAAACCTAAACTCATGCAGAATGCAGGCAAAGCAAATGATTAAAATGATTATTATATATGAGCACTAGATTCAACTCTGTGCTTTGTGGAAAGCAAGTAGAGAAAAACCCAAAGGTTATAAACCTGCTGTTGTCTGATAGATGAAAGACTGTTTCTTCAGGAGAGAGATGTTCCCAGAGCTAAAATTTAAAAGGAATGTATCAGACGGTTTTTATCTGCTTACTCCAAATATATCCAGCCTAGAAATGTAAACAGATTTGAAATCAAAGCATTCGCGAAGGACCACAGATGATGAGAAAGAATAGATTCTGGTCATCTCTATTACCATGTTCATAAAGACAGTTAACAAATCATGCTCTTGAATATTCCGGTAACACTGGTTTGTGGCCAAGTCATTTAGAAACCAGTTTTCTGCTGTCTGTTACATCTTACCTCATTTCACCAATGTGGGCTAAATGCTTGCAAGTCCTTGCTCCTATTTCTATGTGAGTGAAATCTTGACTGTTTTTCCTCCCAGGCTGAATCCAGGGAACATATCGTGGCCTTCAACATGCTGAATTATCGATCTTGCAAAAACTTGTGGAAATCCTGTGTTGAGCACCATACATTCTTTCAGGCAAAGAAGCTACTACCTCAGGAAAAGAATGTTCTGTCTCAGTACTGGACTATGGGCTCTAGGAACACCAAAAAGTGAGTGTGCTGTAAAGACTCTGTCCATACTAGGCTGAGATGTAAACGCATCCTGGTCATCTGTGAATAGAGGACATTGTTGGGCAGAGAAGGGAACCCATCGTCCAGGGACCCCAGGCATTGGATCTCTGAACCTTGATTAAAAGTCTCCCGGGGGCAACAGTGTCTAAGGGACATCTCGTGTTCCCAGCATTTGTTTCTGTCCCCTCAACTCTGCTGAATTCAGTGCTCCCAAACAGCCAGAATTGCAGCTGCACCCTGCACCGTGACATAATAAAGGAAGTGGAGCAATGGCTGTGTGTGTCTCCTGGTGTCAGCGTATTGGGCTATCCCAGCCTGATGCCACTGTGCCAGCCTCTCCCACAGAACATGAATTCCGTAAGACGTTCTGTAAAAATGAATGAAGGATCAGAAAAAGATTTCCAGAGTCAAGTGACTTTGGGATATATTGCCTGTAATAATTACAAAATAATAGTAGTAATCACAGTTGATAATTACTGAGCATTTACTTGGTGCTGGGCACATAATTGTATTTGACTCTTACAACTCTCCTATGAGATAGGTACTTTTATCCACAGGAATGATATTCAAAATATTTAATGACTAGTACAGGAAAAGAAATGGATGTAAAATTATGTATTTTTCATATAAATATATATAAACTTTTAAATTCTAATTTAGATAAAAGTGTATTCTCTAAATAAAATGATTAGTACAGTAAAAGAAATGGATATAAATTTATATATATAATCCATATATACATTTTAAAATTCTAATTTAGATAAATTTATTTATTCTCTAAATGAAATAACCATGCAGTTTATATTTTTATTTCTTTGTTCTTAGACTACCTTGTAAGTATAAGAGACAGCAGCATGAATTGTCAATTTATTCTTTTTTTTTTTTTTTTTTTTTTCCTTGAGAGAGAGTTTCAGTCTTGTTGCCCAGGCTGAGTTAAAGTGGCATGATCTTGGCTCACCACAACCTCTGCCTCCCAGGTTCAAGCGATTCTCCTACCTCAGCCTCCCAAAGTGCTGGGGTTACAGGCATGAGCCATCTTGCCTGGCAGTTTATTCTTATAATTTCTTTTTTCTTTTTCTTTTCTTTTTTTTTTTTTTTTTTTTTTTTTTTATTGAGATGGAGTCTTGCTTTGTCATCCAGGCTGGAGTACAGTGGGGCCATCTCGGCTCCCTACAACCTCCGCCTCCTGGGTTCAAGCAATTCTCCTGCCTCAGTCTCCCAAGTAACTTGGATTACAGGAGCACACCACCAGGACTGGCTAATTTTTGTATTTTTAGTAGAGAGAGGGTTTGGCCAGGCTGGTCTCAAACTCCTGACCTCAGGTGATCTGCCCACCTCAGCCTCCCAAAGTGCTGGGATTACAGGCCTGAACCACTGTGCCCAGCCGATTCTTATACTTTTTTTTTTTTTTTGAGACAGAGTCTCACTTTGTCGTCCAGGTTGGAGTGCAGTGGTACAGTCTCGGCTCACTGCAACCTCCATCTCCGGGGTTGAAGCAATTCTCCTACCTCAGCCTCCCAAATAGCTGGGATTACAGGCACCCAGCTAATTTTTGCATTTTTAGTAGAGAGAGGGTTTCACTATGTTGGCCAGGCTGGTCTCGAACTTCTGACCTCAGGTGATCCGGCCACCTTAGCCTCCCAAAGTGCTGGGATTACAAGCATCAGCCACTGTGCCCAGCCATTATTTCTAAATCATTTGTTGGTTTTTCAAAATTGTTTTTGTGATTTGTTGTTGATGTGGCTATTACTAAATGAGACTCATGTATGAGCCATTATCTGATATGTGGAAATGCATCAGACTGTTCAAGTTACTTTCCTAATAAATTGATAATCATTAGGGAACTTGTAGACTGAATAAGTAGCTAATTTCTGTTAGTATCAGTGATACTATTTATGGTGCTAAATGTTCTCTCTCAGCTTCTGATGAACCAAGGGCAAATATATTTTTTAAGTTTTTAGCTCTTATAATACTCTCTAGTATATTTATGCATTCAGTAGCTCTACTGTTGAACAAGCCATGAAAATAACTTATTGGAATATATCATTGACTTAGACAGGACCTGATCCTCAGGCCAGATGAGAGAAGGAATGGGGAGGCAATTGAAAGCGTGCCCTCTGTTGCAGAGCTGCCTGGGTTCAAATCCTTTCTCTGTCACTTGAGCTTTAATTTGTTGCTTCAATTTCTTCATCTGCAAAACTCTGTCATCTGTATGCATCCAATGCCAGCAAGGCTGGGTTCTGGTCATCTGTTGTGGTGTAAAAAAATTTCCCCTATTTTAGTGACTGAAAGCAACACCCATTCTATTATATCTCATGATTTTGTGAATCAGGAATCCTGGAAGGGCTTGGCCAGATGCCTCTTCTGCTCTGTGTAGTATAGAGGGGGATTTCTCAGTGAATGTGGCCAGAGGATCCAAGACAAGTTTTCTTACATACCTGGTGTTTTGATGGAATGGTTGGAAGGCTGGGCTCACCTGGACTCCTTAGCCTGCCCATCTTGATGCTCCAGGAGGGTAGTTGAATTTCTTACATAGACACTCAGGGTTCCAGGAGCCAAAGACAGAACTATTCAGCCTTCTTAAGGGTGAGACCTGGCACTGGCACAGTGACCCTGTTGTTGAAAGCAGTCACAAGCCAACCCAGATGCAAAACTCAAAGAACTTGCAGCCATCTTTAATCTGCTACAGGGGATTATTTGGGTTGGGAAGATGACTTGGGAAGACAAGTCAGCAGTTCTTTTTCTACCTGCGCCAGCTTCAGCATACTGGTGAATTTCAAGTCTCATTACCTCCATTTTACAGATGAGGAAACTGAGGCTTAGAAGGGTCATTTGACTTGCCCAGCCCCTAGAGATACAACTGCACATCTGCTTATTGGGCCTTCTGAAAGGTTCCACATAAAAATAAACTTGTTTGGTTATTTTCCAAGCTTATGGGACAATGGAACACTTTTTTTCAGAGAGTCTCTATTAATAACCCATGACACATTAAACCTTGGATTCAGGCAGCTTGCTCCCCTTGTTTTGATCCTGTGCTCTTCATCACTGGCGGTGTGCTTTCCGATGTAGGCCTGCCTCAGACGAAAGAGTCTCCCAGTGATGCTGTTGTGAGCATTTTGATCAGGATAACAACAGCGTTTCTTAATGTGAATTAGTACATGATGGGCTTACAGGGCGTTTCATGTCGTTTATGTTCTTTGGTTTGTTCTTTGTTCTGTTTTGTTTTTGTTGGTTGGTGTCATGCCACAAGGAAATATGTAGAATGTTTTCATAAGACAATAAGACCTTTAAACCTAGTTTAAAATGTAGAGATGCCAGAACCAAAGTTCCTCACCCTTCAGCTAGGCTTCATGCTCTGTTCTCTCAAATAATTCATTTTCTGAGGGGTCTAGATAGCTAAGATTTAAATTCTCTGAGTATAAATAAAATTCAAGAGTAACCTTCAGGGTAGCACATTTCAAGAACATAGCACGAAATGGCATTTCCTTTTTTTTTTTTTTTTTTTTTTTTTAAACACAGTCTTACTGTGTTCCCCAGACTAGAGTGCAGTGGTATAATCTTGGCTCACTGCAGCCTCTGCCTCAGAGATTCAAGGGGTTCTCCTGCCTCAGCCTCCCAAGTAGCTGGAATTAGAGGCAAGGGCCACTACACCTGGCTAATATTTTTGTATTTTTAGTAGAGATGGGGTTTTGCCATGTTGGCCAGGCTGATCTTGAACTCCTGACCTCAAGTGATCCACCTGCCTCAACCTCCCAAAGTGCTGGGATTACAGGCATGAGCCACCGTGCCCAGCCTGAAACTATACTTTCTAAGTGCATTTTCAGATTCTCACTCAAAGAGTTACCAGTAATTTATAGTGACAGCTTCTGCCAGCTAGGATGATGAAGAGCACCTGAAAAGATGGCTAATATTTTAACTTCTGCCAGTGTGAATAAAATAAGAATTCCTTGAAATCACTTGAACTCTATTTCTGTGTGATCCTGGAATTTCTTCTGATCTAGTTAGGTTTGGTTATATTCTGGAAGCAGCTTTGTTGCTTGAGTAGTGAGGACAAGAAAGGATTTTCACTATAAGAGCAGAAATCACATAAGGAAATTCCAGGACAGACAGGAATTGCTTTTGAGCTGTCTCCCTCTACTCCCCGTAACCTTAGCATTAAGCAGCCATCCGTCAGACAAGCATGTGTAGACTGTTTCACACATGCTGTAATTTATTTCCTGTTGAACATGTCAGTGTAGAAAGTGAACCTGCATCTGGTTTTTCAGGTCGGTAAATAACCAATATTGCAAAAAGGTGATTGGCGGGATGGTGTGGAACCCAGCCATGCGGAGATCCTTATCAGTGGAGCACTTAGAAACCAAGAGTCTGCCTTCTCGTTCCCCTCCCATTACTCCCAACTGGTATGTCCTCCTTTTTTTTTGTACTACCCATCAGTAGACACTTTCTCTCTTTTAAAAATAAAAACTCAACTTATAAATTCCTAAAGCTAGATGACCTACAGAGTTTACAATTGCATTTTAGGCTCATGGCAGAAGTAACTGTTTTCATGAAGTACACAAGTCTAGCTGTCTTGTGTAATACTGAGATGCTCTTTTTAAAAAAACTTATTAGATCTAAATAATTTGGGAAACTCTAGCCTGCTGAAAGGCCTCCCTTGGAATCACAGCACACGTTAGCACGTTAAACACTCTGAGATGTCCGTGATAAAGAAGTATGGTTAGCTTTACTTAATTCATGTTTTCCATTAACATCCCACAAAATAAACTTAGGGGAAAACTAATGTAGGCACGTGATATAGATGATGTGAGGATGTATGACCTTCAGCAGCAGAAGCAAATGCACATCAGGAAGTAGCCTGCTGACTAAATAGGACGGACTCAGCTTAAAAGGAAATAGGTGGTAGTTTGGTAAAGTGGGAAGGGTACTGAGTTTGTAGCTGAAAGACCAAAACTCTGCTTTTGGCTCTTCTGTTAATTAACAAGTTTCTTTACCTCTGTAGCCTCAGTTTCCCCATCTCTAAAAGGATTATAAAAGCTACCACAAATGAAATAATAATGTACAAGTACATTGTAAGCTTTTAAAAGAATCAGGTGGAATTATCATTATCTTATTATAATGATCCCCAAAGACTGTTTTGCGGCTACCCCCAAAAAGCCCAGGGGCCAGAAGGGAAAATCTAGCAGGAAAACTTTTCCCCCAGCTCCACAGTGGAGTAAGAGTGTGTGTCTGTAAATACCTGAGCCAGGATCTGCTAAGCCCAAGAGAAACTGGGAGGCAGGCAGACAGAGGAGATGCTGTGCTGGGCCTGCAAGGGAAGGACCCTTCGCTCGGGGCCTAATGCTCGGGGAAGGGACAGGGACAGCATTTAGTGTTAGAAATCATGACATAACTGAATAGACTTGCTTCTTGGTTTCCAAAATTTAGATACCTCATTCTAAAGAGGTAGATTTATGCTATAATACAGCAGCTTCATGTATCTGAAAATCTCATTGGCAGCAATGCCAGGGGCCCAGAGAGCCCAGGCCAGGATCCAGGGGAACAGCGGGGTTAGATGTTGCCACACTCGTGGCCTGGAGCTCTTGTGGCTATTTATAGGTCCTCTCCTGAGGAGTCACAAGAGCCTTTTTACTTCTGCTTTGGACACAGCATTATTGATTATCCAGGCCCAGGGGGATTGCAAATCATGGATGCCCTAACGGTCCTGAGGAGAAGTGGCTAACAAAGAAAGGGAAGATGGAAAAGCTGTGAGGGAAAATAGAACTTAGGCAGCTCAGCAGCCTGGGATCGCCCACTGCAGGCGCTGACACCAGGGGCCACGCTGGATGTCCTGAGGACACGGCCTCACTGGATTCATTCTCAGGAGCAGGTAAGTACAGCCCAGGCCCAGAGAGGTGACGTGCCTTGCCCAAGGTCACATGCCTATGCTGCTGTTGGAGGACAGGGCAGTGCTTATATGCCCATCTAATGCCACGTGTTTAATAGGTGATATATCTTAAAAAGCAAACATTTTCTCTTGGATCAAGTGAAATTCACATGAAGGGATGTCGCTGAAGTAAGATTGGAGTTTTGCTGAGAAATATCTTTTGTCTTCTAAGCCTTTTGTTTGCATTGTTCGAATTAATCAGAAAAATTCTCTGATCAGCAGTCCATATGGCCTATTTATGTCTTAAGGGCTTGAGTCCTCCTGGAAGAAAACTAACCCTAAGTCAATACCCGTCCCTTCCCAAAGGGCATAAACCCATCAAATTCTGCCTGTTTATACAGCTGTGGCTACTGTACTGGGAGCCACCACTTGACCGAGAGTGTCCGGGATTTGTGTCACCCTTGGTGCATTCTGCTGGGGCAGTCATGAGTTAACCGGCTCTGAATGTCAGCCTCAGCCAAGGAAGGCATCCTTAGAAAGGTCAGGACACAAAGGTCACTGATCTCTAATAAAATTTTTAAGTGGAATTTGCCTTGAACACTTTGTACTCAACGTTTCCCCCACCCAGGCGAAGTCCTCGGCTCCGGCACGAAATCCGAAAGCCACGCCACTCTTCTGCAGATAACCTTGCAAATGAAATGACCTACATCACGGAAACAGAAGATGTATTTTACACATACAAGGGCTCTCTGGCCCCACAAGACAGCGATTCTGAAGTTTCTCAGAACCGAAGCCCGCACCAAGAGTAAGAAACTTGTGTTTTGTTTTCTTGGTATCTGCTTTTTGGCTGTTGTGGAATTTGCTCAGGTCGGGGTTGCCATTTGAGAGGAGCCAAGAGCCAGTGCCTGCAGCCAGCTCCCAAGGGTGCCCTCTGCCAGGATAAGAACTTAAATCAGACTCTACCTTTTCACCCGGAAGATAGTCTGTGTGCTTGGGGTCTAGAGCGTGTACTTTTTTTTGTCTATGACAAAGACCTTCTACTCGCTAAGTACTTGTCAGTCTCTTGAATTAGTCTCCTCTCCAGTTCACAAGCAAAGCCCAGTGTAAATCATTCCATATTCTAGAGGTAGAGACTCTAGGGCCATGCTAACTCTAATTTCTCTAGATTATTAAAGTTTTACCATCACATGATTTCAAATCATTGGAAATATACTTGCTTCTAAAAGCTTTCTCTGAATGGCAGGGTTCTGAGGGGTTTTGTTTTCAATTAATAGTATAAAGAAACAAACATGTTAGAACATTTCTGATTTTCTTTGACAAATTTTTGTTACATTTTTATGTCCCACTCCCCGCCTTTTACACAATGTGACAAATTTCCCTGCTAGCTCAAGGCCAAAAGAAATGTCTGTCCTAAAAGACTGGTTGAATGCTTTTGTTACTCAGTGAGATACATTTAACCCATTTGTTTCCGTTTTTGTCTTGGTGGCCAGGGAGTTCAGAGCTGCACATCATGCTCAGCGGAGATTTCTTACGTAGGACCTTCTCTTCCTCCTCTGCCTTTGTTATATGGGTCTTTTTTTTTTTTAATTTTAATGGATTCATAGTTAGATATGTGTATATTTTGGGGTAAACTATCTCAAATCATTTTTTTAAGTAGGTAAGAGTATAAATTAGGTTAAAGCATGATAGTAAAGGATCAACTGCTAGGAAATCAGCCATAGTCATTGGGTATCACATCTATTCTTTTAACCTCATACTGTGTCTAAAATATAGAGAGATAATGCCTCCCCTAACAGTGAGATTTAGCAAGCAGGTACTTTAGTTAATCTGTAAGTTTTTTTACCACTGTAGCTAGTAGGCTGAAAGCACCAAATGCATCCTGATTGTACTCCAGGCATTCACAGGTGAATTGCAAATCTCCTTCCCGTTTATGTGGAATGGTGCTACCTCTCCTCTGTCCTTGCCCACAGCAAACATGGTTTCCAGTTTATCTGTGTTCTTAACACCTCCGGTTAAATAATCCTTGTGGTCATTCCTTCCCTGTGACCTGATCTTGGATGATGCTTTTGTTAAGCACTTGCTATCTCCTGTTCCAATTGGCGGCCTGCGGCCCCTTGGTCGGGGCTGAGTGGATGATTGTGAGTTCCTTTGTGTGACTTTGTAGCTTTTCAAACCACAAGGCAAGAGTGCAGGCGTGTGTGACTAGAGCCATTTGAGTCTGCACCGGGGGCTCTGCCGCTTTGGCAAAAGGAGAAGACAGTTTAGAGAACTGTTGGAGGGCTCTGGGAAGCCCACTCACGCCTGCCACGCCTGCGGTGGTTTCAGTCCTATCGCAGAACAGTACAGCATCTAGACCTTCCTGTCCAGTACAGCAGCCACCAGCCACAGGTGGCTGTTCAAATTAATTAAAATAGTAAAATGTAAGCATTCAGTGCCTCAGTCACACAAGCCTCACTTGAAGTGCCTGACAGCCACACAGGAGTGGTGGCCTCCATCTTGGACAGCACAGATACAGCCTGTTCTCATCATTGCGGAAAGTGTTGTCAACAGCACTCATCTAGACTAACACGTTTATGCCATCATTTGTTTAAAGTGGAATGACCCCCTAGAATATCTACAAGTGAGAAGGGCGTTTTTCAAACAAAATTCATGTGGGAGTAGGTTTGGAGTCATCACCTTGCTTGCACTCTGGGTGCTCCACACCTCGCACCCAGCTGCTCATCTGTGACATGGCGCTGATGGGTAGCCTCTGAGTGCCCTCCCAGCCCAGCACCCTCTGATGTCTTTATACAGTCTGTGCTAGGTGGGGAGGGAGGCAGTCTGTCCGGTGACAAGCAGACACTTGAGAGGGCCTGCATTCATTCCCGAGTCCAGCGGCACACTTTCTACATCCTTGGCTCGTCACTGAGGGGGTCACCAGAGCAAATTAGACAGGTTTATTCAGGAGTCTCCAGGCCAGCGGGGCAAATCGCACATTATCAGCCTACACTGCCATACTCCAGGGCTCTGTCGCTTTGGTGAAAGGAGGAGGGGGCTTAGGGAACAGTATGTGTCCTACATCAGATGTTCCTCCTGTAGTCTGCAATTACCGTCACACAGTTGCGGAGCATCTAGACGTTCACAGTCCAATACAGGAGCCACCAGCTCCGTAGACTGTTTACATTTCAGTTCACTAAAATTAAATAAGATTTCAAATTCACTCCCTCAAGCGCTGTTTGATGGAAGTGACTTCTGGGCCTGTTTGCTCCTATACATTGCACAGTGATTCTTCTTGAAACCCCTCCATGAGACCTTCTAAAATGTGTCATCTTGGGGCAGCTAAATGTTAAGAATAGCAAATAATCGTGGTTCAAGTCAGGTTTCCTTGTGGAGTTTTGCCAGGTGCAGGGACAGTAGTCATGCCAGGGGGTCAGGTTAGTGGCTGTGCTCTGTAAGTGGGGTGAACAGCTAGAAAAGCAGTCCCCCATCACCTCTGTTAGGTAGGAGACCTCTTCCTGCTGGTGGGAAGCTACTTTGTGCTGGTTCTTCAGAGGAAGCGGGCCCTCCCAAGGGCCTGGGGACCCCCATTGCCCCAGGTAAGAAGTGCAGACTGGTCTGTACTTGGTGAGAAAAAAAAAAAAACCTGTTGGTGACTTTCTGTGAGTATTTGCAAAATGTTTAAGAAATGTTTGACATGTTTTATATGGCAGATTTGTGTTAGGCAAAAAGAAGCATTCTGTCAGAGCAATCAGATAAATAATATCACAGACAGTGAGGAGGATTCCTTTTAAGAAGAATTAAGTGTGATGTTCTGTACTCATTTAAAAAAGAAGGAAGAGAGAAAGAAAGAAAAAGAGCGGTTAGGTTTTGGCTGTAAACCCGGAGTGGCACAGCTCAGGCTGCCTGCATGCCGTCTTAGCGGATGAGTCACTCGCTGGTTTGCTCCATATTTATAGCAGCACAGCAAAGTTTATGATTATAGTTATGAATCCTTGGCAGTTTGCTTTGAGCCCAAGTAGGCTGCACTCTTTTGTTGCTCCCAGCCATTGTGTGTTCCTTTCCTTGCTTCCAACTGAAGACCAAATTCTGCAGACAAGTTAGTTTCCCTCATGGCAGAAATGAAAAACCTACCACTCTCCACCCAGATAAAAGGCAGAGATGTTCCCTAAAGAAAAAGAGACATGCAGAACAGGAACTGGGGGAGCAGTTTAGAGCTGTATTAGAAAAACTTTCTGGTTATTGTTTTACCACAGTTGTCTTGACGGGTCAGCAGCATGACACCCCTCCAAGTGGATGGGGCTTCACGCCTGCGTAACTTCTTTGCTGTTTGTTGGCCTCTTTCCTTAGAGCCTGCCTTCTTCCATGGGATGTGGGGCAGCCATTGCTTTTTATTCCATAACTTCTGTGCAGGCCAGGCACAGTGGCTCACGCCTGTAATCCTGCTGGGCAGATTACTTGAGCCCAGGAGTTCAAAACCAGCCTGGGCAACATGGCAAAACTCCATTTCAACAATAAGTATAAAAATTAGCCAGGCACGATGTTGTGTGCCTATAGTGCTAGCTACTCGGAAGGCTGAGGTGAGAGAATTACTTGAGCCCAGGAGGTCAAGGCTGCAGTGAGCTATGATCGCCTCACTGCTCTCCAGGCTGGCTGGCATTGGAGTAAGACCCTGTCTCAAAACAACAAGAGAAAAACGTTTTCATTGGAAGGAACCCAGAGGATCCCCTTTTTCAGGTTTGGTGGTAGGATAGGAACTCCCCCAACCCTACTGTGGGTCCCTCAGGCCTGAGCACCCTGCCAGCAATGGAGAGTCCCCTACAGCAGCAATGTGCTCTGTTGTTAGAGAGCCCAGGTACCCAAGCTGGGTTAGTTCTTCCCAAGCTGGGCTGGAAGCCTCCTTGACACTGACCCGGCATCAAGGTTCATGCCTTAAACTCTCAGGACAACACAGATGGTGTCTGTTCCCAGGTCCACCTGCCAGCCTTGGTTACTGTTCCTTAAGATAGACAATTCCAGTGTAGTCACTTTCCACCTGTCACCCTCACAACCACCCTTCTCCAGGTGCAGATGAGCCCTTCTAGAGGGTGGCACCAGATCCGAATGTAGAGGAGGGATCTGCCTACCATTCTACGTGTCCCCCTCAGAGGACGCCAGCCAGGGACAGGGTTTTGTTCAGAGCGTTTATGTCCTTTTTCCTTGAACCTTGCCTTCTTGTTTGGGCCCACTTGCATGTGGACATCTCTCAAATACCTGAAACCCAACATGATCCAATCTCAGCTCCTCATGCTGGCTGGTGTCCAGCCCATGGCTGTTCCTGTGTCTTGGTAAGGGGGACCATTTTTTCAATACTACAGGTTTGCACCTATTGGAAACGTCAGTCGTCCCTCACTCCTCTTTTTCTCTCACTGTCCTTAGGCTGTTTCTCATCTTGTTAATTCTACCTCCCAGACATCACTTGCGTTTGACTCCTTCGCCATCCCCACTGCACTCCCCCTTGCCGCCACCATCATCTCTTGCATCGTCTAGCTCAGTCATGTCCAAACCGTCCCCCTGTCTTTGGTGTCACCTCCTTCCACACCGTGCTTTACAAGAATAGCAAAGTTATCATTTTCAAATACATGTCCAAGAATGTCACTCCTGCTTCAATACCTGTTCTCTGCTTTTTCAACATTTCCTGCCTTGACCTGTGCTGCTGCTTTTGTTTGTTATTTTAAGTGTTTTGCCAGAATGCCCTCTTTTTCCCACTTGACTACCGATTCAAACTCCTATTAATTCATCTTTCAAACTCAAGCTCAAGTGCATCTGCTCCAGGAAGCCTCTTCTGGCCTCATATGGTACCCCAGACATCTGAGCATCTCCACTGTAGCATGATAATATTTCTTCTCTTGTAGACAATGAATTCTTTGAGGGTAGGGATAGTGCCCTATTCAGCTCTTCTTCCTTAAAACCTGACATGGTTATTTGGCATTTAATAGACATTCAGTGACTATTTGGATGGATGGATGGATGGATGGATGGATGGATGGATGGACGGATGGACAGACAGATGGTCAGACGGACAGATAGATGATGGATGGATAGATGGTGATGAATGGATGGATGGATGGATGGATGGATGGATGGACAGACGGACGGATGGACAGATAGATGATGGATGGATGGATGGTGGTGGATGGATGGATGGACGGAACAGATGAACAGACAGATGGTTATATGAAACTGAATGGGGCCCCAGGATACAAACTCATAAGTTTTCATAATGGGATGCCCCCTTTGCCGCTTCCACATCATGTGTCCATATCACATGAGCAACATCACACCATATTTATTATACTCCAAGGACTCAAACATATTTATTTTGACAAGTTTGGTAACTCTCACCCATGAGCAGGACTGTGTGGTAGGTGCCCCTGCAGGGCATCTGTCAATGAGAAATTCTCAGAGAATTCAGGGACGAATTGACTGACGTTTAGCAAGTGCTTTCTTGCCAATGAGGTGTCCGATATCTGTCGGGGAAGCCTAGAGGACAGATTCATGATCTGCTGTTCCACCAGGAAAGAGACTGAAAGTTCCGAAAGCACCATACCTGAACCATATTCCCTCTGCCACTTTGATCTTGTGCCCTTCATGAGCTGTTTCCTGTGGAGACTGTGTCCGTGTCACAAATATATATATTGGAAGACAGTATTCTTTCTTTTACTCAAGGACCCTTATGCAAGGAGCCATGTGGGAAATTTCTCCAGGAATTTTATTCAGAAGAAACTGTGCCCTCTGGGTGAACCGTTCTGCATTCCTCTAGCCCCGCGCTATTCCCGCTGTGGCCACAGGCCAGCAGCAGCAGCAGCATCTGAGAGCTGGTCGGATGCAGAATCTCAGACCCACACAGGCCTGCCGAATCACACTCTGCATTGAGCAGGACCGCAGGTGATTCGTGTGCACAGCACATTCTCAGAAGCTCTGATCTTGCAGATGCTGAGAACCATTTAACCCACCTTCTCTTTGCACCTGAGCTTCTAGATTCCCGAGTACATTCTTTGCTCTTTTATTTTTTTATTATGATAACTTTTTTTTACTTTTTTGCAATGAAGTCTCTCTCTGTTGCCAGGATGGAGTACAGTGGCACGATCTCAGCTCACTGCTATCTCCGCCTCCCAGGTTCAAGCAATTCTCCTGCCTCAGCTTCCCTAGTAGCTGAGATTACTGGTGTACACTACTGTACCCAGCTAATTTTTGTATTTTTAGTAGAGACAGAGTTTCACCATGTTGGCTAGGATGGTCTCGATCTCCTGACCTCGTGATCCGCTTGCCTTGGCCTCCCGAAGTGCTGGGGTTACAGGGCATGAGCCACCATGCCCGGCCATTCCTTGCTCTTTTAGAGTAACTCACCCAATCACCTTGGGTGATCTTCTTGGTACTTTGCCAAGAGGTTTTTATTCTTCATTCACTCAGCATTTCAGCTGAGCACTCCCTGTGTGCCTGGTCCTATGTTCCTGAGCACTAGGAGAGGAATAGAAAGAGCACTAGGGTCTCCTGACCCTGAGAATCTCCCAAAGCAGCGCCCCTTTTCCATCACACTGCAATTTGAGAGCAAGACTTTGTCCCCTTTGACAGGCAGGGTTTGGGGAGGTCCTTGTAATTCTCTAGGGTTTAGGGAGAGCTACAGTTCGGAAGCGTGTGTTTTCTGGAGGGTGAATATTTGTGTGTCTGCCTGGTGGTCAGTCTGTGTCTCACATTTCTCTGTCTCTGCCTCTTTCTCCCCAAGAAAACCAGGGTGTTGTCAATCCCACATGGGTTCTTCCATGGTGTCTCCCACCTCTGCCTCAGGGACCAACCTCTTCTACTCCTTCCTTCCCCTGGTCATTGGCTCCGTCCCACCCTCACCGTCTTTTTGCATCCCTCATCCTGCCCCTTTCTTTGCTCCACTTGTGGAATTCATGGGGCAGCTCCCCCACGTTCCTCAGCCGCTCTGCCTTCTGCCCAGCAGATGGAGGAGGCGCCTGGGCTTTGGTGCCTTCACCCCTGGCCACCCTGTGCTGTGTCCAGCTGCCACCTGCTCATTGCATCTCCTCATTCGATGTCCTCTTTCTTGTCTGTCTGTCCATCTTGCACACTGAACAGAACATCACCACTCGATGCCCTACAAAGCACCTCTGTACACAGTTGAGCAGGCTAAAAAATCAGCCATTTGTCAAAATAAATGACTAAGAGTAACCCCTCCAACCCTGCTTAGATAGAAAACAGGTTAGGGCATAAAATGACCTGGAATATAGTATTAGTACTAGCAGCAATAGTAATAGTAGTAGTACTGTTGTCATTTAATACCATGGGCTATTGTAGACAGACCATTGAGTTTTAAATTCAGAAAGACAAACAGGGCTAGGGATGGTGGCTCACACCTATAATCCCAGCACTTAGGGAGGCCAGTGCAGGAGGATTCCTTGAGACCAGGAGTTCTAGACCAGCCTGGGTAACAGCGAGACCGTGTGTGTACAAAAAATTTTTTTAATTGGTTGAACATGGTGGTGGATGCCTGTGGTTCCAGCTACTTGGGAGACCAAGATAGGAAGATCACTTGAGCCCAGAGATCGAGGCTGCTGTGAGCTGTGGTCACGAAACGCCACTCCAGCCTGGACAACAGAGAATTATTCTGTCTCAAAAGAGAAAAGAGTGGGTGCGGGGAGGGAAGGGAAGGAGGGGGAGAGAGACCCAGAACAAGAACTAGAAATACCATTTTATCTTGTTTTGTAACTGCCAAGCAGTTGCCCTTTCTGCCACTAGGTGATGCTCTTGTAAACAATGAAACCCAGCAAAGATGCCGTATTTGGGGGCAATTTTTTAAAGCTTCCTTTTACATAAGTGAAAGTCATTCTTTTTCAGTCCAAAAACTTGTGTACAACTTCAATTCCAAAATGTTCCGTCTCTGAAATGCCTTCCCATCCATAACACCCTACCCACAACCAGCAACTTGGACACCATAAGGCCAGACTCTTGTCCTCTGTATAGCTGTGTTTCTCCAGTGGTCTGTCACTGAATATTTTATTCAAATAGATTGTGATTATGAATCATTCTGTGTGAATATGATACAGATTTTGTATTTAAATTAAGCTCATTTGAACTCACTAGGAGAAAGAGAAGCACCAATTTTATGAAAACTCCTTGGGCAAGGGCTGGAAATAAAGGTGGAGAGAGAGGCAATAGCAGCTGTCTTTTGTCTGGGTTTCACTGAATGACTTGGTCTCTATGATTTTCTTCTCACTCCACCTTGGATGAGGCTAGGATGGGGCAGAGTCTTAGAATGTAGGACAGCACCATATTCAGCAGCTCTGTAAGGTGCCTGTGCTCGGCCTGTGGCTCTGGAAGGGGCTGGTGTGGGTGATGCAGAGATGTGAAGGGTCCTGTCCTGTACAGTGACAGTAAGGATGGCTAGTTCTTGTGACCTTGAGAAGTTAGAAATGGGGGTCTTGGGAATGGGCTCTGCATAGCCTGGAGGGGGAAGAGAAGCTCGGGACACACATCTGTCAGGCTTCTGTCTGCTAAGTGAGGGGAAAGCTCTGTGACCCCAGGCAAGTTACTCAGCCTCTTCTGATCTCAGTTTCTTCACCTGTGAACTGGGAGTTAGAGCAAATGAGCACAGAGGTCTGTTCAGTTCTCATCATTTGTAATTCCCTAAGACAGCGCTGTCCAGCAGGGCTTCCTACAGTGGGGAAAATATTCTCTAACTGCACTGGCTAATACAGGAGCCCCTGGCCGCATGGATCTAGTGAGCATGTGAAGTATGGCTGGTTTTTTGTCTTGATTTAAATTTAAATAGCCTCATGTGACTAGTGGCTGCCATACTGGACAGTGCAGCTCTACGATACAGAAGAAACTATAATAGATAGAGGAACATTAAAGATGATCTCAGCGTGGCAGTTAATGGATGTCACAGGCAAATCATGCCAACTAGGAATAATATAAATCTCCTGAATCCACAATAATCCCATTTTCTTTGAGGAGGCAAGAGTCCTATGAAGCAGAACCATCAGCAGAAATGAGACAAGGAAAAATCTTTCAGAAGGGATGGGCCGTGCATCTGCATGAGCCTGCCTGGCAGAGCCTGGTTCAGTAATGAAACCACCAGAGTAGCTGGGCACATTTCCCTGTCACCCTTCTAAAGCAGTAGGGAAGGGAGTGGAGTTTTCAGCAGTTCCCGGATCCACCCTGCTTCCTATCCCTTTTCTCCAAAACCATCTGACATTGTCTAGGCCAGGTGCGGGCAGGGGTGGTCTGTGGGCCTTGGGTGTACTCAAATCCCGCTGATGACCTGTGCAGCTGAGCTTCTAGGGAAACATATGGCCCTAAGGTGCCGGGCCCCTACATCAGTAGTGTTTGCTCTAATAAAATATTAACCCAGTTATTAATATCTCCTCCTTCCCCATGATGAAGGAGTTTATCCGAGAACAATCCAGCACAAAGCTACCTGACCCAGAAGTCATCCAGTTCTGTGTCTCCATCTTCAAATGCTCCAGGCTCCTGCTCACCTGACGGCGTCGATCAGCAGTTCTTAGATGACTTCCACAGGGTGACCAAAGGGGGCTCCACTGAGGATGCCAGCCAGTACTACTGTGACAAGGTGAGCGGGCACAGGTGGCCAGGTGACTCACCCAGGCTCGCGGCCCCTTGTGGGCAGCTGAGTAGCTCTGACTAAATGGAAATCTCTTATCACCAACTGCTGGAGAGAGATGTGATGTAAATGACGACTTTCAAACGTTTTCCAGAATGATAATGGTGACGGCTACTTAGTCTTGATCCGTATCACACCAGATGAAGATGGGAAATTTGGATTTAATCTGAAGGTATGTTGTGTTATTTATAAAGGAAGCTTTATGCTGTGAGGCAATCTTTTGATGAGTTTTTAGTTTTCAGTAGAAATGTGCTGCATTCTTCAGCTACATAAGGAAATTGTTTCAACCCTCCCAATTGAGAGTTGGTTTTTGTTATTGTTGTTTTTGTTTGGTTTGGGTTTTTTGGCTTTATTTTTTTTTTTAGAAAATCTCGCTCTGTCGCCCAAACCTGGAGTGCAGCAACACGATCACAGCTCATTGCAGCGCCAGCCTCCCCAGGCTCAGGTGATCCTCCCACCTCAGCTGGGACTATAGGCATGTACCAGCTAATTTTTTAAATATATTTTGTAGAGATATTTTTTGTCAGATAATTTTTCCTGACCTCAAGCGATCTACTCACTTTGGCCTCCCAAAGTGCTGGGATTACAGGCAGGAACCACCACACCCAACCTAGAATTGAGAAGAAGTTTTTTTAATGTGGACTTAGCAGATGCCAAGTCCCAAGTTCCTGCTCTGTGCCTGGCACTGACTGTACACTAGATTCATAGCACCTTCTTCAGTTCTGATAACAAGCAGTAAGGTCAGCATTTTAAACCCATTTTACAAATAAATACTGAGGCTCCGAGAGTTGAGGGCACCCAGTTGGCAAATAGATCTACCTGCTTCAGGAATGCCACTAAAAGAAGCCCTCAGCATTGCTAAAGCTGATAAGAGAAAACAATTCAGGTTCAACCTGCAGGGCCACCACTCTTCTCCCGGCACCTTTAAGCAGGATCTGCAAACTGAGCCCATAGGCCAAATCCCATCTATTTCTGTAACTAGTTTTTTCGGTAACAGCCACACCCATTTGTTTACTGGTGGGTTAATGGCTGCAGAGATGAGCAGTTGCAACTGAGCTCTCGCTCCCACAAAGTCTCTCTGACCCTTTACAGAAGCATTTACTCACCCCCTACTCTAGGACAGAGTGAGGATGGTCCACAACCCCCCAGCTGCCATCGTGCACAGCCTCATCTGCCCCAGCAGCTATGTTAATGACGAGCCCTCACAGGCCAGATGCACTCACGAGGTGTGCCCCTTTCCCAGGCCTCGCTAGCCTCTGCTGAAAGCACCCTTTTTCAGCAGCACTCAGAAGACACACGTGGAGTACCTCTCCCAAGGGTGTCTGTGTTTTTAAGGAGGAGCTTGCCCTCTCTGAGTGCATCTTTTAGTTCATGGACTGTGGGGATGGCAGAGGGAGTCTTCTGAACAGGGTCCTGGTTAGCCTGCTGGATCCAGACGGGTCAGGAATTTGTTCCCTATTTCTGAAATGACATGTGATTCGAATTGGTCATAGTGAAGTTTGAGGCCTCCCTGTGCCAAAGACTCACGTTTATTGCTACCTGCATGTTGTTGATGCTATGAACTACTTAAGTATTATTTTTAACTTAAAATTTTTTTTTTGTTTTACTTTGCAATGTTTACAGGGAGGAGTGGATCAAAAGATGCCTCTTGTGGTATCAAGGATAAACCCAGAATCACCTGTAAGTAAACGCGTTCCATGTTATTTCTCGTGTTTGTTTTTCCCTAATTCTGACAGGTTTCTGTTTCTGTGTCCTCTTTCTTTTCTTTACCAGCTGCAAAGAATGTGTTTAGATACGCATCACCATGTTTTCTATAACCTTCTGCTTAGTGTGGTCTTTGAAGCTATGGCACCCATGTTACCTGGGACCTCGTTAGGATTGCAGAATCTCTGGCCCCAGCTTAGGCCTATTGAACCAGAATCTGCATTTTTAACAAGAGTCTTGAGTGATTGGTGTGCACATTAAATTTTGAGAAGTCCTTTCAGGAGAAGGAAAAAGGCAGTCTGCTGTTCTGCTCACTCCAAGGACACATGGGCCCCGTGCCTCTTCTCACCATCTTTCCACCAGCGCCCCCTTTGCCCTCTGTGTAGGCCTTCTAAGAAGAGTGTTTGCTTTTTTCTTTTACATTTGTTTTATTGTTTTTAGGCCAGGCCTAGTGGCTCACACCTGTAATCCCAGCACTTTGGGAGGCCGAGGCAGGTGAATCACTTGAGGTCAGGAGTTCAAAACCAGCCTGCCTGGCCAACAGTGTGAAACACCGTCTGAACAAAAAATACAAAAATTATCTTGGCATGGCGGCTCACAGGTGTGATCCCAGCTACTCCAGAGGCTGAGGCAGGAAAATTGCTTGAACCCAGGAGGCAGAGTTTACAGTGAGCTGAGATTATGCCACTGCACTAGAGCCTGGGTGACAGAGCAAGACTCCATCTCAAAAATAAAATAAAATGAATTTATTTTATTGTTTTTAAAATAATAAAATATTAAGCAATTTTTTCATTTAATATTTTCATTGTGCATGCTTAGGGTATACAACATGTGTCTTGTTATACATACCGTACTGCAGTCAAACAAATTAACATGTTCCTCACTTTCCATAGTTAAGCCTTTTTTTTCTTTTTGAGAGACAGGGTCCCACTCTGTCAACCACACTGGAATGCAGTGTTGCGATCACTTCAGCCTCTTACTAGGCTCCAGCAATCCTCCTACCTCAGCCTCCCAACTAGCTGGGACCACAGGTGTGTGCCGCCTCACCTGGCTCCACAGTTACCTTTTATTCATCAGCCTTTTTAAAGCAGTAGGAGTCACTGTGCCTCCTTACAGCGAACCATTTTGGGATTTTACTCTGAGACAGTCAGTCCTTAAGCTCTTGTCATTCAACTTTTGCTACTGTTTATGGTTTCTGTAAATTCAGAAGGCTGGCTTTCCTATGCTGTTCACTTCATTGCTTCTGTCCATAATGGTTTTTGTCTCTGTGGTGAAGCTTACAAAAGCTTTCACCTTTGCACAACAGATAAATACTTCACCTCTAGCTGGCAAATCACTTCCCAGCAGTACATCTAGAAAACAAAGGGCTGGAAACGGTGTAGTTACATTGTAATAAGTGAAGGTTGACTACCACAAAGAAATGGCTTCAGTAATTTTTTTAGCCCTATTCTGAAATGTTTCACAACTTATATTCTGAGCAGGACTTTAAAAATCTCACAACCATCTACCATGTCCTCATAGCAGTGGATGTACTGTAAAAATAATGACAATACTACCCGAGGGAGCGAAAGCAAACCTGATCATGGTCTCCAGTGTCTGGGAGCGGAGCGAGTCAGGGTTCCTCCCCAAGGACTGCGTTATGGTAACAGGAGAAACTCGCTTTCCCCTCCACCCAGGCGGACACCTGCATTCCTAAGCTGAACGAAGGGGATCAAATCGTGTTAATCAATGGCCGGGACATCTCAGAACACACCCATGACCAAGTGGTGATGTTCATCAAAGCCAGTCGGGAGTCCCACTCACGGGAACTGGCCCTGGTGATCAGGAGGAGAGGTAATGGCCACCTGGGGGGAAGAGCCATAAGGACACTGCCCTAGCAAAGCTGGGCCTGCTCCAGCCCTTTATCTGCTCTTAAAAATGTTGAATTTGTAGCCAACATTTGAAAATCAAGAACCCGATGTTTGGCTTCCTTCTCACTTGAAAAAATGTTAGGATCTGCCCACGTGAGGCCTGTCCCCATGTGGCCAGTCTTCTGTAGGGAGGCAGTGCCACCCACCCCCTTGCTACCGGACATGAGCCCCGCACCCTTGATTCCTCCCAGGCCCAGTGCAGCCCACATCATGCACTCTCTATGTGGCATGGCCCCGCAGACATTTGCATTTTCAGCCCCTTCTCAAAAGATCGGGTCATGTTTTATTAACGTGTGTCTGATTTTTGTCAGAGAGGTAGTGAGGAGAGCAGGGCCTGACTGTCATGGGTGATTCCTCACTCTGCCTCTGCAGGCTGGGAACCCTGCATGAGTTACATGCCCAGCCTGTGGCTCAGCTCGCTCAGGAATGAAGGAGGACAGCAGGGGTCCCAACTTCACAGGGCTGTTGTGAAGATCCAATGGCACTTGGGGCCAGGCACAGTGGCTCATGCCTGTAATCCCAACACTTTGGAAGGCCAAGGCGGGTGGATCATTTGAGGTCAGGAGTTCAAGACCATCTTGACCAACATGGTAAAACCCTGTCCCTACTAAAAATAGAAAAAATTAGCTGGGCGTAGTGCCATGTGCCTTTAGTCCCAGCTGCTTGGGAGGCTGAAGCAGGAGAATCACTTGAACCCAAAAAGTGAAGGTTGCAGTGAGCCAAGATCATGCCACTGCACTCCAGCCTGGGTGACAGAGCGAGATTCTGTCTCAATAAACAAATAAATAAATGGCACTTAGACTGGAAAGCACCTGGATCACTGCCTGATGGGGGCAGAGGTTTGAAGGATGGCCTCTACTGAGCATCATACTGTTGTCTTTATAGTTGTTGTTATAAAATAATAGGCAAGTTCCTTGAACCCCCTACACAGCTGTAAAATACTGGCAGTAAATGAAGGTTGTGCCTGCAAAGCCCTGGCCCTGTGTCTCTGCCTGCCTTACCTGTGTGGCTCACACCCCACACTGCTGTGCTCCTGCCTTGGCTCTGCTCCCACTAGAACTCTCAGCCCAGAGCCACCAGGACCAGCTTGGACCCTACCTCCTCTGAGAGGCCTTACTAGATCTCTCCCATCCTCACCGGTGCAAAGTTGGGGTGGGTCCTAGCTTTGCTTTCACCTGTATTGTATTTAACACGAAGTGAGAATGTATACTAAGGAGGCAGGTCTGAAGCACAGAGAAGACGTTAGGACTAAGATAGTTACGTGGGAGGCTCCCTTATAGAAATGGCCATGAGTTAGGGATTGAGCTCTCAGGAATGGTGGTGTCACAGGGAGAGCCTGGGACCTCACCCGCATGCCTGGGGAAATGCCCATTTTAGGGAAGTAAATGAAAAAACCTGAGAAAGAAAGGGGGAGTTGGGATGAATAGAAGAATAACCAGGTCAGAAAGAGCGAGCAGAGACAATTTTGTTTTTAAAAATACATTCTTTCCCTTTCCCCTACCTTTGACAAAAGCCTCTGAGTACTAAACACCATTGTTTAAAACTAACCAGGAAGATTAGTATGTCATTTTATGTAATTAACACACATTGAATCATTCACCTAGAAGTATCTTTGGTGAAAATGATTACCCTGTAGCTTAATCATTTAATAAGATGTTTTAAATCATCTGCATTTAGGTGTCATTGGTGTGATTTGTTTGAGGAAAACTGATAAACCCGAGTGTTGCTACACAAGTCAGATGCACTGTCTTGTATATTACAGCTGTCCGCTCATTTGCTGACTTCAAGTCTGAAGATGAACTGAACCACCTTTTCCCTGAGCCCATTTTCCCCATGTGTCCGGAGGGTGGGGACACTTTGGAGGGGTCCATGGCACAGCTAAAGAAGGGCCTCGAAACCGGGACGGTGCTGATCCAGTTTGAGGTAAGAGCCCCTGGGGGCTGAATCTCGAGGTCTGGGCCTGCCATGTCACCTGCTGGGCTGCCCCTGCCTCTGAGCAGCGGAGGAAATGAGCCCTTGTTTCCTCAGTCAAGATGATTATGAAACAGTCAACTGAGTCTTTGTGAGGACTGACAGGTCAGACCTGTGCTTGCCATGGGGTAACAGGGCACAGTGGGCAGCCACGCTCTCAGGCTGGGAGCAGCAGGCAGGGATCAGGACGGCCACCCTTGCTGAACTCTGGCTCACCCTCTTCTTCTAGTAACATTTGGTAGTCATGGAGAAACATGCCAGAAACTGAGGAGGAGGGACTCTGAGCATATTTAGCTGCCAACACAAAAGCTCAAAACTCCTAGCAGTGGAAGGCAGTGGAAAGGCAGTTTGGGTGAGGAGCCCAGGGTGGGTGAAGGAGCCAGCTCTCTGACTGTCCCCAGCCTTGTGCTGGAATTTGGAGCAATTAGCGCCTTCTCATGAGGGCATCGTAGTGTCTTGCCCTACCAAGTTGCCCAGAACCCTATAAACACAAGTAAGAAACCAAAGTCCAACCCATCTTCCCCAGGGGAACCTGGGATCCATAGGATTCAGGCTGTTGAGGAAGGTGCACACAGACATTTTTTATAAAACAGGGAACCAACGGAGACTCAGCTTTTAACCAGTTTTACTGATTGCTAACAGAACTGAAATAGAACGTGTTCATCTTCCAAATTTATTTTCTTATTTTTATTTTTTAAGTATGTTTTTCTTTAAAAAAGAAAAAAAAATAGCGACAGGGTCTCGCTATGTTGCCTAGGCTAGTCGTGAACTCCTGGACTCAAGCGACCCTCCTGCCTCAGCTTCCAAAATGCTGAAGTAACTGATGTGAGCCACCACACCCAGCCCATCTTCCAGATTTATTTAAAAGTAGAAGAAAAGAGTCATTCCTGTAATAAAAGAAATAACATTGAAAAGCATAAAATAGGTCAACAAAAGAAAATAGATCATCATTAGAAATAACAGTCTGGGTTCATACATTCAGGAAGAAGGTCTCACATAGGACTCAAAAACAAATCAACAACGCATTAGAATACCACATAAAGAAAAAAGAAGCAAAACATTTGTGAAATGTGTGTGACTGCAAAGTGATTCAGGAGCAATAGGAATGTTGAACGTGAAGGAATGCAAAGCAGAAAGCTTTGAGTGAAAGATTAATTTTAATGCATGTGAAAATATATTAAAGCAATGTGTACTGAACAGCAGTAGAAAGCAAAAATCACAAGGGAAAAAGTAAAGGTAACTGACCCAAACAATCGACAGGATATTTTTTTAATTTTTTTTTGGTTTTTTTTTTGAGACAGGGTCTCACTCTGTTGCCCAGGTTGGAGTGCAGTGGTGCCGTCTTGGACAATGCAGCCTCCACCTTCCAGGCTCAAGTGATCCTTCCACCTCAGTCTCCCAAGTAGCTGGGACTACAGGTGTGCACCACCACTTCCGGCAAATTTTTTTTTTATTATTCTTTGGTAGAGATGCAGTTTTGCCATGTTTCCCAGGCTGATCTCAAACTCCTGGGCTGAAGCAAGGCACCTGCCTCGAGCCCCCAAAGTGCTGGGATTACAGGCATGAGCCACTGCACTCAGCCATTTAATACTTTTAGTTAATATAAAACAAAAATTATTTACCTTATGTAAATGAAGTCTGGATTGAAAGGATAGTAACAATATTAATTACTTGGGTAGAACTAATAGACCTATTACTGAGTATTCTACAAAGGGAAATAGCCCTTCTTTTCAGTGGCCTACAGGAGGCTGTTCAGGCTTTTGGTTAAAAAAAAGAAAATGAAGAGGTTATCTTCCCTGGCCTTGCCTTGCAAAAAAGTTCTCATGTTGAGCAGTGAAACTCATTCATACTTTTACACACTCCAAAATTGAAAAAAAGAAGAACTTAAAAGCCCGTCTCAGCATATATTGGTTTTTTGGTATTAGAGAGGACGGGAAAGGCAGTGTGAAGTCATTTGTTCATTTAGTGAGTGTGTCTTGGGTATTACCCTGGATGAGGGAAGGAGAGGGGGGTTTCTGGCCCCAAGCAGTTTACAGTCTAATTTTAGTATATTTGAGGAGATGTATCATGATCACCAGAAACAGCTGAGGACCAAGACAGGGTATGATGTTGTTATACAGAATATACGTTCTGCAGCAGCTGGAGGTGAGAAGACTCCAGGAGATCCTTGGAGTGAGATGTGGGATTAATAAAGAGGTAGATAGGATTAAGTGTGGTGGGGAGCATATTCTAGAAAAATCTCATCCCAGACACAGACGAAGCTCATGGGGTATCAGATAGCATAAAGAGCTGGGTGAACAGCGCAGTGTGGGTCCTGGGCAAAGCAGTGCGGGTCCTGGGCGATGCCTCCAGGTGACAGATGTCCTTCAGCCCCGCCAGAACTGGTTCCAGTTTAGCAGATAGTCCACAAGGAGGCACTGTGGGCTCTCACTGTGGAAAACCCAAAGGCTGGTGTTGCCAGTGTTCTAAGAAGCCTCCTTCACTCAGGTGGCTCGACTTTGAGGTGTGTTTAACATATTGGAATCCCACAGGTAATTTCCTTTGAAAAGTGTTCAACTTTTTAAGAAGTTTTCAAAGGCATTAGAGATAAATAACCACCCTGTCCCCTACCTGTGTTTTTCAAAGGGTGATCCTCCAACCACTTGCATGGAGATCACCTGGGGAGTTTATTAAATCAAGGCCCCACCGGCAGCTACTGGATGGGCTGCATCAGGCTGGGACCCAGATACTTGTACACAAGACCAGCACCTGTTTGGATGCACACGCTGTTCCAGAGGACGGAGCTGGGGGTGTGAGGATTGAACCAGAACCACTGGCTCACTGCCTTGCATCCAAGGTCTTGTCTTTGGAGGCTGTGGTGGGATGATAGCATAAGAAACAAAAACATATATGTTTTAGGGTTGCGTTTCAGTGTCTACACATTTCCTTCATTTTTGTCTATACATTTTCTTAAGTAGGAAACCCTTCTTTTTAATAAGATGATTGCAGAATTCCAAAATACAGAACCAGATGAAAGCAGTTCTTCTCTGTGACCTGCGATGGAGTCAGTGGGGTCCTCAAAGCCCAGCCTCTTCAGTCTTCCCTCACTGGCCCTCAAGGAACCCTAGGCTAGACCATCCTGTGAAGACCACCGTTACAGGTGCGAGACAGGTGTCTTACAGAGCAGCCAGAGGAGAGGAAGAAAAGGAAACCAGACAAAATGGGAAACTAATAGGAAAGGAAAGATTTCATGAGCACTTACTATGTGCCACGGGCTTTAAGGGCTATCACCTTAGGTAATTCTCACAGGAACCCCCTATAGACGCTGTCATTACCCCAGGTGTAGGCATGGGGGAACACAGTCTCGGGCAGGTTATGTGACCTCTCCCAGGTGTAGGCATGGGGAACACAGTCTCGGACAGGTTATATGACCTCTCCCAGGTGTAGGCATTCGGGAACACAGTCTCGGACAGGTTATGTGACCTCTCCTAGGTGTAGGCATGGGGGAACACAGTCTCGGACAGGTTATATGACCTCTCCCAGGTGTAGGCATGGGGGAACACAGTCTCGGACAAGTTATGTGACCTCTCCAAGGTCTCACAGTAAATGTCACAGGATGATTGGAACCCAGGGAGGCCAACCCAAGAGCTGGTTCTTAGCTACTCTGCCATAGCCTTTGAAAAGTACAAAATGCTGTTGATGCACGAGGGTTATTAGAATAGTAGAGCATCAGAGCTAGAAAATATCTGAGAGGCTGTGTCAATACACGGAACCGGACAGATTTTAAATCCTGGCTCTACCCTCACTTCCTGTGTGGCCTCAGGCGTGTCCCCTAACTTCAGTGGCTTCTGTTTCCCCATCTACAAATTGGGTATCTTGTGAGTTCATTGAAGAGTTAGTTGAGATAAATACTTAATGCGTTGTCAGGTATTCAGTAAAAGTGCCATGAAAAGTAACAGGTATTATTATTTATAAATAGAAGCTCCAAGATTCTGCACAACATACCCAATGTCTGCGTAAGAAGTGACCACAGGCTGGACGTGGGGGCTCAGGCCTGTAATCCCAGCACTTTGAGAGACCAAAACAGGGGGATCACTTGAGGCCAGGAATTTGAGACCAACCTGGGCAACATAACAAGACCTCATCTCTACTAAAAATAAAATAATTAGCCGGGCATAGTGGCACACACCTGTTATCCCAGCTACTTGGGAGGCTGAGGTGAGAGGATCACTTGAGCTTGGGAAGTTGAGGCTGCAGTGAGCCATGTTGGCACCAGTGCATTCCAGCCAGGGTAGAAGAGCCAAAAAAAAAAAAAGAAAAGTAACTGTGTTGTGCTGTGTTTGGAGCTCTGGGTCATCTAATCCTGGTGTTCTAGTTCTCCACCTCCTCCAGTGTGGTTGGCAGGTGGGCATCCTGGCTGATGGGGCTGTACAATGGACAGGATTAGGAAGAGGAAGGGGCTATTCCCTAACAGGGTCCCCCGCCACCGCAAGTGTCCATACCACCTACTCTGTGACACAAGAGACCTGCCCAGGGGTGGCCTTAAATCCCTTCTGTGAGAGCTGATTTCTATCAGTGCTTGCTTTGAAGCAATTTTTTTTCATGAAGGGAATTCCCCAATCCCTCCTGTGGCTTTCAGTAAACAATCACAAGTGTATTCCAGACAGAAAGCCTTTGGTCCCATCTGTTATAAAATCACACTTAATAATTAGCATTTCTGTAGCACTTTGGAATCTAGCAAGTGTGGTGTACATATGTTGTCCCTGTTGAACAGTTCTGTGAAATTGATATGGCAGCATGATTAGGATCACCCTTTTATAGATGGAGAAAATGAGAATCAGAGAGGCTGAGGGACTTGCCCAGTGGCACACGACTAGTCAGAGATAGAGCCACAGTTAGAATATATGTTAAGTATCCAGGCTAGGCACAGTGGCTCATGCCTGTCATAACAACACTTTGGGACTCATGCCTGT